TTTTTTGGCAGGTCCTGGCAAGCTGTAGCTAGTCCAGGGGAGAGCACAAAGATGGCTTCCCTTGGCCCATGTTCTGTGAGGAACCCTTCCTTAGCCCCGGGGTGAGTCATCCACCAAAAGCCTGCCACTCAGGCTGAAGCTGAGGACCAGTAAATAGGCCTTTTTCAAAGGAAGACTTGGGTGTTTCACTCTGCTGTCTGTGCTGTGCCGTGGAGGGGTCATAGTTTGCCAAGAACTGTCTCTAATTGTTTCAGATCCTCGGGGCCCAGAAACACAATTCATCCTGGCCACACGAGCCAGGTGCCTGGGGAGTTCCCTTGTGTGGGCTACTTGGGGCCACTTAACTTTGTTGGGGCTATCGGAGTGGTGCAGGCACCAGGCATGCCCATTGGCGTTAGCAGGTTAGAGGCAGAGTGCAAAAATGGTGCCCACCAACACTATAAAGGTAGAGGGAGAATGCAAAAGTGCCTCTCGCCAGCGCCTTTTCTTCACGGAGAGGAGAGAGCCCTAATTGTCTCCTGCACGAGCCTCGACCAGGGCCTGGAATCGAGCCTGCAACCCATATGCCCTTGACTGGAATTGAACCCGGGACCCTTTAGTCTGTGGCTGATGCTCTATCCACTGAGCCAAACCAACTTGGGCCGCACAAGCCCTTTAAGAGCGAATCTCTGTTACTTACATCCTGTGGCTCTCCTGGACACAAACCCTGTTGTGTTTCAAAGCCAAATGTTTTGGGGGCTCATATCTCCCAGGCAGAGTCCAAGGGTTGGGGTGCTTGATGTGGGGCATCAGGGAGAAACTCTGTATTTGTGAGCTCTCTCCTGGCCATGATTCACTATGCCTGGGTGGGCTTTTTAGTGAGACCGAGTATTCTGCTTCTGCTACCGTTTTATTCTTGTCCTGAAGGAGCTGTTCAGCTAGTTTTCAGAGCAAATTGTTCCATATGTAGCTGTAGTTTGTCATGTTCCATGTGTAGCTGGGAGGAGGAGGTAAGTTCATATCTTCCTATGCAGACTCTTTGTGCTTTTTAAACTGGAAGGAGAAGCACAAGTGTGAATATAATCTTAAGGAATTTACCAGTAACTTATGCTTCTTGGGCAGTCAGAATTACCTTTAAAATAGGTACAAAGGTTAAGAATTTTCCTGTTGGCCCTGCCTTACTGGTTATTATAAAACTAGAGGCCCGATGCACGAAATTCATGCAAGAGCAGGCCTTCTTTTCCCTGGCTGCCGGCACCGGCTTCCCTCTGGCACCCAGGACCTGGGCTTCGCTCTGGCCACGAGCAGGCACTGGGACCCAGGCTTCCCTCCGGCCCAGCTTCATCCATAAAAACATCCGGAATGATGTCCGGTCTAATTATCATATTACCCTTTTATTATTATAGATACATGGTTCTGTTCTTCAGGTTGGTGAGTAAGTCAAGTGACAGATGAGCCTGAGTTAATGTTTTGGTGATAAAGTCAAGCATGAGCCTGACTTAGTGGTGGAAATCATTGGAACTTGGTCTGGTTGTATTTTTCCTGGCTCTGTTTTAGGAATGCTCAAACCACCATCTCAACACTAGCTGGATAAGAATGTATCTGGAAATAATGTTGTCTTAGTGTGCTTGTCACTTTGAGTAAAGTAACCCCCAAGAAATACTTTTGAAAGGTCATGATTATATTTTTTTCAGGGAAAGAAATGGGACAGTGCTTTTCCAGAAGTACGAATACACAGCTCATGCGGGCCTTTCCTCTTCCTTACTTTGATTACATGCCACTTTAAAAATTCCATCTTCATATTGTTACATGGGGTTCGGGGCACAGAATCTCCCCCTTGTCGGTTCTTGCCCTACAAAGTTTGAAGAATAAACTCGCAGACTAAAAGGCTTCTTTAGTAAAAAATGTGGAAGTTTATTGGAAGCGTATACAAACTTTGCTTGGGCAATGGTCAGGGGATCCCCTGGGGAGGGGTCCCCAAATGGGAAAAAACTGCTCACTCTCTCTTATGGGGAAAAAAATATCAATCCTTTTTGAGCCTCTTTGTTGCTGGGTTTATAAAGGCTGCAGCTCTTTGTCTCTTCACGACCCTTTCTCATTGGACCCTTCCTTAGTGTATGACCCTTGTGCTTTTTAATTGGTCATTCTTATGCAGAGTAGCAGTTTCAAAGCCCAGAGCCCTGTGTGCCCCACTTTCCTCTCCCCCTTATCTTGCAACATCCCTCTCCCCTCTGAATGTATGCTTCCCTTGTAACATTCCTCCATCCTCTGCAAAAGCGAGATGAGCATTCTGGCATCTTGGCGCTATCTCCTTCCCGTCACTCATGCATTCCTCTCCCAGGGACCCCCCCTCCCCCTTCCCTAAAACTGCCTTTTTGTCTCTAAAATTTCTTTCAGTATTGTTAAATGTTCTTTGAGTAGATAGCAAATAATGATACTTTAAACTCTAAGAAAAACTTCTTTACTGGCTATCCCATTAAATAATAAGGTTGGAGTCTGAAATGGCATAAAGTAATTACTAAATAATTAATTTGGGGATGTAAGAAAATGTTTATTATTTAATTCACTAGAGGCCTGGTGCACAAAATTTGTGCACGGGAGGTAGGGGTCCCTCAGCCCAGCCTGCACCCTCTCCAATCCAGGATCCCTCTCGCAATCCAGAACCACTGGCTCCTAACCGCTCACCTGCCTGCCTGCCTGATACCCCTAACTGCTTCCCAGCCGGCTTGATGGCCCTAACTGCTCTCCCCTCCTGGCCTGTTCCTAACTGCTCTCCCCTCCTGGCCTGATCCCCCTAGCTGCCTAACTGCTCTCCCCTCCTGGCCTGATCCCCCTAGCTGCCTAACTGCTCTGCCCTGCCGGCCTGCTGAGAGCTCTCTGCCGCAGCTCTGCCCCCATCCTGATTGGTTGTTATATGATGGCATCCAGGACAATTTGCATATTCCTCTATTATTAGTATAGATACTTCATTCTGTTGGTGGGATTTGGGATTGGGTCTGGAGTGGTAGACATGAGAAGACAAGGGGAATTGTGGCAGGTGTGAGGGTAGCACACAAGCATTGCTGAGGTTGACTTTCCTGTCCTACACTTGTGTGACTGAGGAAGTATTTGCAGTAACAGAAAGTGTCGCTTCCCAGCGAAGGCAGCTATTGGCTCCCCCGCCTCCCAGCATAATTCCTCTGGCTGCAGGTGGAGCTGGCCCTGGTCCACACAGCAGCGCACTCACTATGGTGGGGTATGCTAAAGACAACCGCTCTCCTATTGTGGTGATCACTTCATGGGGCATATAAATGTCCAACTACTATGTTGTACACCTGAAAGTAATATAGTATTGTATGCCCAGTGTAATTGAAAAATAAATTAAGAAAGGAAAAAGATGGCCCCTGCCTATCAGAGCAGGAAGTGCTGAGATGCACAGAGCTAACCAGGGGGAGACTGAGTTTCTCACCATTCCCTCACACCTTCCCCCTGCCTGCCTCTGCTTTTGTAGTCTGCAAGGGGGACTTGACCTTTTGAGAATCTGGAAGCTCCTAATAGGAGAATGTCTAGATTGTAAAGGAAAGACCGCCTGCTCCACCCTCCAACCTAATGGGTCTTTCAGTGAGGAACACTTGCTTCAAGGCCCTCTTTCCAACGACCTGTCATATTCTGTTCTCTTCCGCAACGATTGATGCATTCGGTATCCCTGCTGAGATGTGGAGGGCATGAAGACAGTGCCCCTGGCCCAGCAACTCTCCAAATAAGATAGTAACAACAAAGCCTGTTTCTTGGAATTTGTGTAAATAAATTTGTTAAGGTTTGGCCGGTGGTGAGGCCTGTGAAAGAATTCACACTAAAAGAAGAGATGCAGAGAGGAAGTTTATTATTATACTTTCCACAAAGGGAAAGGCCCAACCAAGTATTGCTAATCAACACAGGGCAAGAAACAAGAGTGGCTTCCCCTTGTAATCCTTGACTGTTGGTAAGCGACAAGGAAGGGAGGAGGATTTTGGGTGAAGTTGAGTTTGTCTGTCTGTCAAGAGACAGTCCAGGCAGATGTCCTACTCCCCCCTGAGCCTGTAAAACATGCTTAGAGCAAAAGTTATGACAAGTTCAAAAAGGGCTTGTTCGAAGGGGTGGGAGGAAGGGAACTTTCTCCTAAGTAGAGACTACTTGGTAGGAATTATTCCTGAGTTGTAAAAAGAGTGGGGGGCAGGGTATGCAAGAATGTAGCCTTGAAAGTAGCTTATCTTGTCTTGCAGTTTGGACAGGAGCTAACAATCATGAGGTTTAATTACCAGGTGCTTCTCATACATTGTGGAAGGCCACAACAAACACAAAGAAAGGCCTTTTTAAAGAAAGGTTATTTCAAATCTGTACTTAGCAACTCTCATTTGACATCTTATATATGATTTATGCTAACCTGCTCCTGAAATATTAGTGTGGGTCAGGACCCATGGCCCCATGGCCCCATTACCTGGGCCACGAGGCATTGGAAGATAAGAGGAGACCTAGTAGTTTTCTGTAGTAGGCTCCAAAGAGACTGTGAGGGACAGAAAGTCTGATGCCTAGTAGTTTGCCCACCGAGTGGGTGCTGGAATTGTGAACCTGCCCGGGATCAGGAAAATCAGCTTTGCGGTCTTTTTTCACTCCCCTGAGGCTCATCTCCTACATTGGGTCTACACTTTATGCAGCTGCTTTCCTCCTTCCAGGCCTTGATACAGCATGGTGACAATGCTGCCACCTTCCTTCTTTAGTGTTTAGCTTTGGCTGCTGGTAGTCTACACATTCTTCAATTTTCCCTTCTAGGAGTAGAATCTCAAGGCATACTCTTAACTTGATTCGAAACTAGGAGCAGATTAGCTATTTCTTGAATTCAAATTAGCTACTGATTGCTTGGTTCCTGCCCCACTACTTGAAGTAGCAAGAGAAGAACAAAAATAGTAAGTTCTAAAATCTGGCCTTTGCTTTGGTAATAAGCAGAGAAAATACTCATGTGAGATGTCTGACTTTTTCTTCTTTAATCTCTTTGTATTATACAGCTTCACCCAGAAATACCCACCTGTAAAATTTTTATCCGAAAAGGATCGTAAAAGAATTTTGGTAAGTTAGCATATCTGATTAATATTTGTAGTATTAAGGAATTTGTTTTCTAAATTGAGTTTTAATTCACACACCATAAAATTCACCCTTAATGGGATATACAATTCAGTGGTTTACCATTCACAAAGTGTACTCACAAAGCTATAAACAGCACCGTGTTATAATTCTAGAATATTTTCATCACAACAAAAAGAAATTACTTCATGCTCATTAGCAGTCATTTTCCATACTTCTTCCCACCCCCCGACCCCCACCCCTAACTCCTGGCAACCACTAAAATCACTTTCTGTCTTTATGGCTTTTCCTGATTTGGACATTTCATATGAACAAAATGATGGAATATGTGGTCTTTAGTATCTAATTTCTTAAACTTAGAATAATTTTTCCAGGGTTCATCCATTCTGTAGCATGAATCAGTACTTCATTCCTGAACAATATTCCACTGTATGGATGTGCCACATTTTGTTTATTTATCAGTTGATGGCATTTGGGGTTTCTACTTTGAATAATGCTTCTTTGAACATAATGTGTACAAGTATTGGTGAGGACATAGGTTTTCAGTTCTTTTCAGTATGTACCTTTTCAGTATGGGTGGAATTGCTGGGTGTATCACTTTTTGAGGAAATGTGAAACTTTTCCAGAGTAGTGGTTTTTAAAACCTTTTCTGGTTCACAGACCATTTTAAGGGGGGGTGGCGGGGGGGGAGAGAGAGAGAAAGAGAAACATCGATGTGAGAGGGATACATTTGTTATGCCCAGATTTCAAGATCCCCAAAAAACCATGTCAGGGAGCCAGTCCGATGCAAAAGCAGAGGGTCTCTTATACAAGCTCGCTTGGTCCCCCCCTTGCCTCCATTACTGGGTGCAAGAGAGAGCCCCGAGTCCCAAGAGAACAAAGAATTTATAGGGCTTGGGGTCGAGGATTCGGGCAGGGTGCAGCTAGGGTCTGGTTACACAAAGACAGGGGGGGTGGCCAGCATACTTTTGGCCTTGGGCTAGTTTCCCCCGCTTTCCCATTGGCCGAGATAAGGGCAGGCTGAGTAACTGATACACCCTGCGGCTTTTTCTTGGAAAGAGGGGTTAAGGACATAGCCATCAGTCCTGCTCTGTCCTTTCAACATTAACTGGTTGCCGCCTGCATGTGCCCTGACCAGGGAGCTGAGAGCGAACCCAAACCCAGGTACATGTCCTTGACTGGGAATCAAGCTCTGAGACCCTTCAGTGCGAGGGGCTAGCACTATGACCACTGAGCAACACCAGCCAGGGCTCTTCAAGCATATTTGTGATGGTTGTTTTGAGGAACACAGGTAGTGTTTGTTGGCTGTGTGTCTTTCTGTACAGGTCACGTATTCCTGTTTCTTTGCAGAGCACATACTTTTGTATAAAATTGGACATTTTATGTAGTATATTGTAGCAAGTCTGGATACTGTTCCCCTCTCCCCGGGAGACTAGTTTTATTTTTGTTTGTTTAGTGACTTGGCTGGTCTGCTTTAGTGACATCTGTGTCCCCTGAATTGTGAAGCTCCGTGGATGCCCCTTGGAAAGCACAGACTTGGACATGGACACACTCACCCTGGGATGACAGTGGTTCTAGCAGAGCTCTTGCTAGTATTGACCATCTCGTTCCTGATGTCGCTGTTAAGCCGTCTGCCTTGTGTGGTGTCACACCAATTGTTAGGCCCCAGTAATTGCCAGTTGAGTGAACTGTTCTTTCAGTAATGCTTTGGGTTATAAACTGTTCCTCGTCTGGTCCATTAAATTCTCTGCAGAGGTGGATTTTGAGGCCAGTGTTTGAGGTTTGCTCTGACCGCAGGAGGGCTCTTAGATGTCTCTTCCTCTGGGTCTTCCTATTGAACCTGCTGGCTTGTGGTTTAGCTTGTCCTCATAGAGCTACCAGCCTCCTTTGTATTGCTTACCACCTCCCTCTCCACTGTTTTGAGAGCACCCTTATGCTTGAACTTCCCTATACTTTCTTTCACGTAAAGTTGATTTGGGGGGCAGCTTTGTAGCTCTCTATGTGTGTGACTGCCCCTGCCCCTGCCTCAGCCACTGCTCTGGAGCTGGGAGGGAATAGCACTGCTCTTTACAGTCCAGGAGCTGGGCAGGTGCAGAGGCCCCATCTTCTCGCCTCTTTGCTCATAGGAATCTCCACCTGTGAGCAAACAGGGACAAGGCCGCCAGTCTCATTGGTCACAGCCTCTGTGCCTGGGTGGAGCTGCTGCCCTGTGGGTGGAGGGAGGGAGCTCTTCACCACCTGGCTCGCTTGCCAGGAATTTAGCCTCTGTTGCTCACAGCTGGAGGAGATGAGAGGTGCTGGTGGCTGCCTTCCTGGTGAGATTCCATCTTTTGACTGGGAGCTCCATTTTTTTTTGGCCACGCCCACCACTCTCCCACTGTGAACTGTGAGTGTGGAAGGTTGAAAGGGGGAGCGAGCCATGGCATAAGTGTCACAGACTCTTACTGAATTTTAATACATTTTCTTGCATAAATGTTTCTTCACTGGTTGTATACGCTTGTGATAATTTCTAGAGACTTTAAATAGTTGTTTTTCAAATCCTTATCCGAGGATATGTTTATTGACTTTTTTAGAGAAAGGAAGGGGGAGAGAGAGAAAAATCAATGTGGGAGAGAAACATTGATTGGTTGGTCGCCTCTCTTATGTGCCCCAACCAGAGAATAAACCCAAAACTAGGTAAGTGCCTTGACTGGGACTCAAACCCATGACCTTTTAGTGCATGGGACTGTGCTCCAACCAAATGAGCCACCTGACCAGGGCTAATGGTTGTTCGTTTTTCAATTAATTTTCACCAGTTATGGTTGTTTTGTGGGGGAACAGGTCTACAGAGCACCTCACACTACCATTATGGAAAAATGTCTTGTCTGTGACCTTAATATAAAGGGTTAGTACACAAGGTGGTTTCTTATTTTTCCACCCATCATCTAGGCCAGTGATGGCGAACCTTTTGAGCTCGGCGTGTCAGCATTTTGAAAAACCCTAACTTAACTCTGGTGCCCTGTCACATATAGAAATTTTTTGATATTTGCAACCATAGTAAAACAAATATTTATATTTTTGATATTTATTTTATATATTTAAATGCCATTTAACAAAGAAAAATCAACCAGAAAAATGAGTTCACATGTCACCTCTGACACGCGTGTCATAGGTTCGCCATCACTGATCTAGGTTGTAGGAGTATGTACCCCAAACACCAAAGTCACACTCCTGAATCAATATTAATTCTGTTTCCCCCACATAAATAGTTACAGAAGGTCTTTTGCCTTTAGATGGCTTACATAAATCTCACCCTGAGCAGATCTAAAGTCTATTTACTTATACACCCATCATCACATCAAAAATGTTTATGCATTTAAGTTCGAATTGAGGACTATATCAGCGTCTTCAGCTGCAGAGGAAAGATAATTCTATTCTTTTTGTGTCACTGTGGTCAGAAAGTATGGTGCTCTGCACTAATTTATGATCCTGCACAGTCTTCAAAGGTTATTATTACTGTTTCCCTGTGGGATGCTCTGCCTGGCGTTGCTGAGTATTACTGGATTTATTTCACTCTACGCATAACCACAATAAGTGGACTCAGTGTTTTCATTCATCTGCCACCTCATAGGTCAAGTCACTTTGGTGCCTGAGTCTGGCATACTGTTGTGAAATTTAAAAGCCTTGTCAGTAATTGTTGAAGCCACAGAACAAAGACAGGGTTTTGTTGGAGAAGTTTTTGCTGGTTTACCAAGCAGCATGACTTTGAATGCTGACCTTGAACTAGATCACTTTAGTTGCCAGTTAATTCCCGAAAGAGTAAGAACTATAAGCACATATAGATGAGCTCATAAACTGCAGAGCCATGCCAAGCTGTGTAAGAGGTCTATATCTCTTCTTCCCACTGTCTCCTGGCTATTAGGTTAGCTCCTTGTTATTCAGGGGTACGCCTGGGCTTGGTGATCAGTCTTCCTGAGCGAGCTTCCTCAGAGGTATGCTTCCGCCAGCTTTGTTTCTATTTTAAATGCTTGCTTAATGGGCTGAACTTCATTAGGAAAGCCATTATAACCATCCAGCTATGTCACATAAATCTTTTAGCATTTTAGATAGAAAGGCTTTGTTCAAGAAAAACAGTTCAAGTCCTTTTTAAACAACACTAAGGTGCTTCCAGCAGTTTTATGTTCTTCCTAAAACTAGGGAAGTGTTGGAGGTGATCGTGTATAATTTAATACACGATCTGCATTTCTGAGGTAGAGTTAGCATGGCACAGAACATCTTATTTAACAACAGTTGCACATAGATATAGTTACAGTAGAAGTTGTTACATTTCCTTTAAAAAGGTGTAATTTTTCTCATTTAAAAACTGTGGAAAACATGAGAAATACAATCAAATAAAGGTAAAGTAAAATGAATTCTCACCTAATGGTGAATTGCCGGGAGCCGGTCCATCTTTGCTGTTTCAAGGGACCTGGCATATATGGCATACTGTTCTTAAAATGTTTGCTAACCTTCTTGGCACTATGTGTTTTAACCAAGGTCTCCTCTCTGAGAAAGGTTGTTTCCCCAGGTAGGGATTTTTCCCTGAAGTCAGGGAGGGGATAAAACTCCTTAACTAAGTGCCAGGCGGGTAGTTAATCACTTTAACTATAAACAATCACGCTTAAGCTACATAATCTTTACTCCCTGGAATGGAGATGAGATAAACGCCTTAACCTTTGTAATAGAGATTGATAGGATTGAATCAACTGGTATAAATACAGATGTAATAAGACAGCAGAACACAGAACTAAGAAGACAGAACCAGGAGGCATAGAACCTACACAGAACATTCTCTAGAGACAGAAGAACTTCGCTGGAGAGAACATGGCAAAAGATACTGGACAGAAACTGGCCTCAGAACCTAGAGACAGAACCTAGCGAGAGAACATGGCAAAAGATCCTGGACTGAACCTGACTACAGAAATTGGCAAGAGAACCTGACTAGAACCTGGTGACTGAACCTGGCTGGAGAACCTGGACAGAACCTGGCTGGAGAACCTAGCGAGGGAACTTGGCTACAGAACCTGGCTGGAGAACCTGGAGAACCTGGCTGGAGAACCTAGCAAGACAACATGGACACAGAACCTGGCTGGAGATCCTAAGCAGAACTTCGCTGGAGATCCAGACCAGAACTTGGCTGGAGATCCTGGCTGGAGATCCTGGCTAGGCTGCTGATCAACTGAACACTGTCTCCGTGTCCTTCCTTCTTCGCTGACTCCATCTACACCTTTGGGAACCCCTGGACCTGCTGGGGTTGGACCCCGGCAGTGAATCAATTTGAAGTTTAGTTATTTTTTCAGAAAATTCTCTGTAAAAATCTATACAGCACACTATAGGAGTGCTAAAGCTAAAACACAAACTGGACAGATGAACAGGTAGTGGGGAGTACATGGAATTAAGACTGTGGGCTTATATATCACTGGAGGCCCGGTGCACGAAATTTGTGCAGGGGGCGGGGTCGGGGATAGGGGGGAGTCCCTCGGCCCGGCCTGCACCCTCTCGCAATCTGGGACCGCTGGCTCCTAACTGCTTGCCTGCCTGATCATCTCTAACCACTCTGCCTGCCTGCCTCATCACCCCTAACCACTCGCCTGCCTGCCTGATAACCTCTAACCACTCTGCCTGCCTGCCTGATAGCCCCTAACTAATTGCCTCCCTGCCTGATCTTCCCTAACCACCTCTGCCTTGGCCCCTGCTGCAGCAGCTTTGTCCGGAAGGTCGTTTAGCTGTCTGGTCTAATTAGCATATTACACTTTTATTACTATAGATTATTAGTGATCGTGGATCTTGGTCAAAACCTCAGTTCCTCTGGATCCACCTCTAAACAGAGGGACTTAGAAAATGGTGCTCTCAGTAAAGAATGAGTATAGCTGATGGAAAGCTGTTGGAGTACCAGGATTTTCCAGCCCTTCATACTCTAACCCATATTGGTGTTTCCATCAGAGCACATGTCAGTACCTAATCAGAGGTTGACACACGGTTCTTCTTAAGGCAGGCAGTACCCCTCCTGCTCTACCTTTTCCACCCAGAACAGCCAATTCTTATCTGTGATAAACCTGGACATGTGTCATATTTTATTTGAACAGGACTTCATGGCAAACTAACTGTTCTAAAACTATAGACCTAGGTCTTTTTGTACTTTTTATTTTAGGTAAAAATAATTTTTTTCCCCTTACTGTAAATTTTTTTCACTTTGGAAGGAGGGCATGAGATGGATGGAAGTTTTGATGGAGAGAAGGAGGAATGGGAAAGTAGGACAGGGAACAGTCCCATCATACGTCTGTTTTCAAGTTTATTTTTTTCACTGCCACCTCCCAGGAATGCAATATGCTGTGTCTAGCCCTTCAGTTACACCACTTCATTTGAATAAAGTCTTTTTATTAGTTAAAAAAATTTTAAATGTAACTTTTCCATTGTTATGGTGTAAGTTTTAGAACAGTTGTTGCTGCTCTCCCATCCCCTACAGGCCCTCACAGGCACACCATCTCTCTGTTTGCCTTCCTGCTCAGACAGTACTGGCCAGTGGAACTTGTGCGTTTAGAGCTTTGGTCTGCAAACAGCATCTATTGTTCATTAATTTGTTCTTATGAACCATTTGAAAGATACTAATTTTTCATGGGGTTCTTGAGTCCATTTTAAATATCACTTTTTTTTTTTTTTTTTGCTAGTTCCCAGATCTCTGCATTTTGCTAATCACTTAAAAGAAGAAGTAATTCTAAAACTTGGCAGGAGTCATATTAGAACTATATAAGTGATGTTCAGCATCCCATTCATTATAAAACAAGAACCTTTTTTTGTGTTTTTTAAATCAAGATATATTTGACATACAACATTGTGTAAATTTAAGGTGTACAATATATTGACTTCACACATTTATATTGCGTTATGGCTGCCATTGTAGCATTAACTTAGACCTCTATCTTGTCACACAGTTGTCATTTCTTCTAGTGTTGGGAACAAATTAAGATATGGTCTCTTGCTAGCTTAGTGTTTATATGACAGTTCTATTGTTTATAATCCCAGGACTTACTTACCTAATAGTTGCAAGTTTGTACCCTAAACTCGCCTGCCTGCCTGATAACCTCTAACCACTCTGCCTGCCTGCCTGATAGCCCCTAATTAATTGTCTCCCTCCCTGATCTTCCCTAACCACCTCTGCCTTGGCCCCCGCTGCGGCAGCTTTGTCCGGAAGGTCATTTAGCTGTCTGGTCTAATTAGCATATTACACTTTTATTGTTATAGATTATTAGTGATCGTGGATCTTGGTCAAAACCTCAGTTCCAAAACCTGAATTTGTAATTGTCCAAACTTACATCCTAAACCACTAAACCACATCTCCTGTCCTCCCCTCCCTGGTAGCCACCACTGTGCTTTGACCTTTACATTCCAAGCAGAGTAAAAGCAGTGTTGGTCTTTCTCTGCCTGGCTCACTCAGCAGGACGCCCTCCAGGTGCACCCATGGCTCCACGAGGCCAGGACTTCCCTTCCCTTGGGCTGGATATTCTACTGCACGTACATCACACCACGGGCATCTTTGTGTGTTCCTCCACCCACTGAAACTTAGGTCTACATCTAGGCTGTCTGGAATAATGCTTCCCTTTTAAGAATGTAAAATTTTCTGTCAAAGATGACATTTTGAAGCTTGTAATTACTGCTTTTCTGACTTATTTGCTGGGTGGTAGTTGCAGTTTTCACTGTTTGGGAGCTGACTGATGGTGTGACTTCTTGCCCTGGAGTGAGCAGTAAGTATGCTACTGTAAAGCCTGTGCCACCCTCCTTTCTCCCCTGGTTCTGAGGACGTCTCAGTTGTGGCTGCCCCAGAAATACGTCTTCTTGACGTTAATTGTCCCCGTTCTCTTGTGCTTTCTCTGGGATGTCCCACACGCTGCAGATAACTGGAGGAGCGGGCTTCGTGGGCTCCCATCTCACCGACAAGCTCATGATGGACGGCCATGAAGTGACTGTGGTGGACAACTTCTTCACTGGCAGGAAGAGAAACGTGGAGCACTGGATCGGCCACGAGAACTTCGAGCTGATCAACCACGATGTGGTGGAGCCCCTCTACATTGAAGGTGAGTGCCACCGTGCCCTGTTGTCATCAGAGCCTGGCGGGTGTGCTGTCCGACTCCGCCCCGTCCGGTTTGTGTTGCATTTTGTGCTTGATTGGTCGTCCCATGCACAAGACACCAGTCTAGTTCCTGTGATAAAGAATGGTTATGACAGAGCAAGTCTGTCAGGTCTGACTTCACTTTTACACAGTCCCCCGGTTTTGAACTTCATGGCCTATACAAGTGGGGCTTGTGTCATACACATCTGTCCCTATTGTCTAACAGGTCTGATGCCTACCCACCCATGAGAACTTACTTCTAGCTTTCCATGGGAAGGTAGATGACCTAGAATGCTGAATTCATAATGAAATTTCACATATAAAAGTCTAAAGCTGACTGATAATTTGGACACTTCTAGGAATTATGGTGTGGGAGCTACAGTGGGTTGGATGGTGACCTCCCCAAAAGATATATTCACATTTCTTATTTTTTTTATCCTCACCCAAGGATATGTTCTTATTGATTTTTAGAGACAGAGGAAGGGAGGGAGGGACGGTGGGTGAAAGAGAGAAAAACATAGATATGAGAAGGAACATCGATTGGTTGCTTCCAGCACTCCCCCTGACCAGGAGTCAAATCTGCATACCTTTTTGGCGAAAGTAGGTTAATAATAATAATAGTAAATAAATAAGACAATAAAAAATAATAATACAAGAATAATATTTTTTTTCATACTTACTCACCCCTGAATGTGGAAAAAGAATTGTGCTATGGCCTGCCCGAAGTTCCAGGGCTGTTAAGCAACTGAGCCAGAATCCAGTCTTGGGTTGACTCCAAAGCTTGTAAAGATATGCTCCTTCTCCTGCATGCATAGTGTAGCCTTCTGCTTTTCCCATATCAAATCCCAAGCATTTTCCCATGTTGGTAGAAAGTATCTTGAGCCATTTTAATTGCTCAACAGTGTTATTATATGGCTATACCATGGTTTATTTGTAATTGTATCCTTATTTTAATTTCTCCAGGGTTTTATAAATATGTGTCTGAATTTTATTTCCTCAATAAAGAATCTATATATGAACTGTGCCGAATACTAATGTCTTCTTTGTCATTTGGTAATGTCCATTTCACTAATACATTAGTAATAGCATTATCTTAAAAAAAATATTAACAAAAATAATTTGATAGAAAAATCCATGGCTTGATGTACATTTTTTTTGGTTACTAAAAAGATTAGACTTTCTTACATGTTAATTCATACAAGAAATCTAAATCTCTTTTGCCGTTTTTAAAAATTTTGCTTTTAGTTTGACACTGTCTTGCACTAGAGATTGAGGCATAGCAGATCTACCTAACACATAGTTACAAACCCAAACAGGCACCCAAAATGAAAGAACAAAAGAATTCTCTTGAAGAAGGGATAAATAAGATGGAGATGAGAAATTTATATTATATAGAGTCAGAATAATAATGGTAAAGATGCTCAACAGCATGAGAGAATATATAGTAACTATGAAAACAGAAATACAGAATGACATAGCACAAATAAAGAACATATTGGAAGGAATACACAGCAGATTAGGAGAAGATGAGGATTGGATCAGTGAATTGGAAGACAGGGTAGAAAAAAAATCACTCAAATCAGAGAACCAAAAAAAAAACCCACAAAAAAACACAGGAGGACCACTTAAGGGAGCCGTGGGACAACATGGAACGTAACAATAGACGAATAGCAGGTGTTCTGGAAGAGGCAGAAAGGGAGGAAGGGATAGAGAATGTGTTTGAAGACATAATGGCAGAAAACTTCCCTAACCTGGTGAAGGAAAGAGTCACACAAGTTCAGGAGATGGAGAGAGTCCCAAGCAAGAAGAACCCAAACAGGCCCACACCCAGACATATCACAATTAAAATGCCAAACATTAAAGACAAAGAGAGAATCTTAAAGGCAACAAGAGAAAAACAAACTGTTACCTGCAAAGGAGCTCTCATAAATCCGTCATCTGATTTGTCATCAGAAATTCTACATGCCAGAAGGGAGTGGCATGAAGTACTAATCCAGCAAAGCTATCAATCAAAGTAAATGTTGATATAAAGAGCTTCCCATACAAAAAGAAAATGGCTAAAGGAGTTCATCACCGCCAAGCAAGCATTACAAGAAATGCTGAAGAGACTGCTGTAATAAGAAGGAGAGAGAGAAACCTAGCCATACAAAATTAAAATGGCAATAAATAAGTACCTATCAATAATAACCTTAAATGTATATGGATTGAATGCTCCAATAAAAAGGCATAGGATAGCTGAATGGTTATGAAAACATGACCCAACTATATGCTGTCTACAAGAGACCCACCTCAGAACAAAAGACACACACAGGATGAGAGTGAAGGGTAATGAAAACAAATTTTCCATGCAAATGGAAAAGAAAAAAGCTGGAGTAGCAATACTCATATTCAACAAAATAGACTTCAAAATGAAGGCCATCTCAAGAGACAGCATGGGTCACTACATAATACTAAAGGGATCGATCCAACAATAGGATATAACGCTGGTAAACATATATGCACCCAATATAGGAGCCCCTAAATATGTTTTAAAACTTCTAGAGAACTTTAAGGGAGAGATTGACAACAATACAATCATAGTAGGGGACTTTTGCCCGGAGCCAATTCCAGCATGTCAGCAAGGGCTGAATCATCTGGAGTAGCAAGGGCATTTCCCCAAACCTGAAACGGATGCATTAAAATGATTGCTTGCTTCCAGACAGCTCAGGGCATCTTAATCTACATGTTATTGCCTCCTACTGGCCAAATACCTAAACAGCTGGAGGCATTTCCTCAAATCTGACAATGGACTGTGTATACGAAACCCTACCACTTGGAAGTGTCTATCTCTGCCTTGCCTCAGGACAATTTGTGTTAATAAAAAGAATGGGGTCTTGAGATGAGGAGATCTTAGTTTCTTTAGCTAGGCTCCTCTGACCCCCAAATGCCTTTCAAAATTATGCTTCGTCTCTGGACTCTTTATTAAGTTACACACAGCCCCTTCTCCAGATTGCTGAACCCTTCTAGATGCTGGAACAAGAACCCCGGCAGACTTTAACACCCTGCTGACTTCACTGGATCTTCCAAACAAAATATTAACAAGGAAACAGTGACTCTAAAGGACATACTGGACCAGATGGATTTAATTGACATTCATAGAACACTTCACTCCAAAGCTGCAGAATATACACTCTTAAGTGCACGTGGGTCATTCGCAAAAATAGACCTCATGTTAGGATACAAAACAAGTCTCTACAAGTTCAAGAAGAGTGAAATCATGTCAAGCATCTTAGATCACAGTGGAATGAAATTAGAAATCAACTATAGTAAAAACACCCCAAAACATTCAAATACATGGAGGCTAAATAGCATGTTATTAAACAATGAATGGGTTACCAATGAGATCAAGAAAGAAAGAAAAAAGTTTCTGGAAACAAATGCAAATGAACACACAACAACCCAAATCTCTGGGACACAGCAAAAGCAGTCCTGAGAGGGAAGTTCATAGCACTATAGATCTACCTCAAAAAACAAGAAAAATTAATAATAAATTATTTAACCCTACAACTTAAAGAAAGAGAACAACAAGAAAAGCCCTGAGTAAGTAGAAGGAAGGAAATAATAAAGATTAGAACAGAAGTTAATGACATAGAGACTAAAAAAACAATTCAAAAAATCAATGAAACCAAGAGCTGGTTCTTTGAAAGGATAAACAAAATTGATAAGGCATTAGCCAAACTCATCAAGAAACAAAAAGAGAGGACCCAAATAAATAAAATCAGAAACGAAAGTGGAAAAGTACCCACTGACACCACAGAAATACAAAGGATTGTAAGAAAATACTATGAACAACTATATGCCAACAAGCTGGACAGTGAGGATGAAACGGAAAAATTCCTAGAAAAATACAATATATGTTACAAGGTCTGTATATTTCACCATATGCCCACGACTCCAAGTCAAAACTCTGTCACCATATATTAGAACCTCCATCTTCCCTCTCCCACTTCCCTCTGGCAACCACCACAGTGCCGTTTGTGTTCCTAAATTTCAGTTTTATATTCCGCATGTGAGTGAAATCATACATTTCTTAGGTTTTTCTGAGTAAGCATAGCGATCTCAAGGTCCATTCACGTTGCGAATGGCACTATTTTGTCCTTTCTTATGGCTGAAGAGTATTCCATTGTGTATAGGCACCACATCTTTTTTATCCAGTCCTCTATTGTGGGACATATTGTTTGTTCCCATGTCTTGGCACGGTGGATAATGTTGCAGTAAACATATATGTATATATATCTTTGCAAGTACATGATTTCGAATTTTTCAGGCATATACTCAGGAGTGGGATTGGTGGGTCATATGGTAGCTCTATTCTTTTTTTTTTTTTTTAATAAAAAATAAAACTTTATTAAAGCGGCTAAACTTGGCGGGACCGAATCATACTTCCTCAATACAGCACAGTCACCCTGTGCGTTCTTGCTGCGGACAACTCCAAGCTGCTCGCGCTCATGCAAAGAGGATGCCCTTGTCGTGTGTTGCGCCCCTCACCTCGACGTGGCACCACACTGACGCTGCTCTGGGCTCCCGTTGGGGGACCAAGTGGGAATGTGCGGGGGTTCATCTGGCTTCTAGCATCTACCGCCCCTGCCACCGAGGGCTGCTTGGTCTGAACAGATTTAAGGAGCTTTTACACCAGGATCTGAAGACGGCTGAGCCTGCCCTCGCCCTGCCCGGCCCCTCCTGCGAGGGCCCTGTCACCGAGGGGCGGGGCTACCTTAGTCCTTCTTGCCTCCCGGGGCCAGCTTCTGGTGAGGACCTTCCCGGAGCTGAAGGGGGTCAGCGTGGACACTGTCGGGGACTCCAGCTTCACTCTGTCCAGGAGGGTCTTCTTGAGGGCGGCTGGGGAGACCTTTTCCTGGTCGGCCATGGACTGCAGCTCTCGTGTGCGGATGCAAGAGGCCTCCACGGCGTTGATGAGCAGGGAGCGGAAGCCCCCGCTCTCCAGGAAGTGCAGGGCATGGATGGTGGCGCCGCCGGGGGAGCAGACGTTGTCCTTGAGCTGGCCTGGGTGCTGCTCCGAGTCCAACAGCATCTTGGCAGCGCCCAGCAAGGCCTGGGCCCCCAGCCGGATGGCCAGGCGCCGGGGGAGGCCCATCTTCACCCCACCGTCAGCGAGCGCGTCCAGGGCCATGAACGCATAGGCAGGCCCGCTGCCGCTGAGCCCGGTGACGGCGTTGATCAGGCCCTCCTCCACCTCCGTGCAGAAGCCCACGCTGCTCATGAGCTGCTCCAGGAGCTGCCCATCCTCCACCAGGGCGTGGGTGCCCGTGGCGTACACCGTGGCGCCCTCCCGCACCACCACGGGCGTGTTGGTCATACAGCGGATCACCTTGGGGGCCGGCTGGAAGGCCGCCAGCTTCTTCTCCACGGAGCTGATGGTGACGCCGGCGGCACAGGACACCACGATGTGCCTGGCCTGGACGTCGGCCCCGATCTCGTCCAGGATGACGGGGATGATGTGCGGCTTCACGGCCAGGAACAGGACGTCGCTGTGCCTCACCGTCTCCTTGTTGCTCCGGGTCAGGTTCACCCCCAACTTCCTGAGCGCGGACACCGTGGGCAGGTCCATGTCCGGGGAGCTGGCGATTATCTTGTGAGCCGAAAGGATGCCCGCTGAAGCCCACGCTCATGGTCCCGGGCTCGGCGGCCGCAGGAATCGCCCCACGCGGGCGGGAGACGCTGTCAGGGGAGGCGGCAGGCGGAGAACCCAGGGGGCGGCGCCTCGGGAGCCGGATCCAGCCGCTTCCGCCCCGATCCCGCCACACCGGTAGCTCTATTCTTAATATTTTGAGGAATCGCCAGATTGCTTTCCATAGTGGTTGTACCATCTACATTCCCACCAGCAGTGAACGAGGGTTCCCTTTCCCCACAGCCTCTCCAACACTTGTTATTGCTTGTCTTGTTGATAATGGCCACTCTAACAGGTGTGAGGTGGTATCTCATTGTAGTTTTGATTTGCATTTCCCTGATTGTCCATAAGGTTGAACATCTTATCATGTATCTATTGGCTGTTTGTATGTCTTCTTGGGAGAGGTGTGTTTTCAGGTCCTCTGCCCACCTTTTGATTGGATTGTTTGTTTGATGTTGAGTTTTATGAGTTCTTTGTATATTTTGGAAATTAAGCCTTTGTTGGAACTACTGTTTGCAAATATCATCCCCCAATTGGTTGGCTGCCTGTTCATTTTGTTGTTCATTTATTGTGCTGTGCAAAAGCTTTTTAGTTTGATATAGTCCCATTCATTTGTTTTTTGCCTTTACTTCACTTGCTTTTGGGGTCAGGTTTATAAAATGTTCTCTATGACCCATGGCCATAAGTTTGGTACTTGTTTTTCTTTTTCTATGCAACTATTTTTCAGGTCTTATGTTTAGGTCTTTGATCCATTTTGAGTTAATATTTATAACTGGAGATAAACTGTAATCCAGTTTCATTCATTTGCATGTGGCTTTCCAATTATCCCAGCACCATTTATTGAAGAGATTATCTTTACTCCAATGTGCTGTGTTTCTGGCTCCTTTGTAGAAAATTATCTGTCCGTATACATCTGGTTTTGTAGCTGGGCTCTCTATTCTGTCTCATTGATCTGTGTGTCTGTTTCTCTGTCAATACCATGCTGTTTTGATGATTGCAGCTCTGTAGAATAATTTGAAGTCAGGTAGTGTGATACCTCCAGCTTCTTTCTTTCTTCTCAGTATTGCTTTGGCCATTCGGGGTCTTTTGTGGTACAAATCTGATGATTTTTTTGTTCTATTTCTTTAAAAAATGACATTGGGATTTTGATGGGGATTGCATTAAATCTTACATTGCTTTGGGTAATATGGCCATTTTAACTATGTTGATTCTTTCAACCCATGAACACGGGATATTTTTCCATTTCTGATAATTAGTGCAAATGTATTTTTCTTATGATTTTCTTAATAGCATTTTCTTTTTTCAAGCTTATTATATTATAAGAATAGAGTATATGCCCTGACTAGATGGCTCAGTTTGTTCGAGTGTCATCCTGTACACAAAAGATTGTAGGTTTGATTCCCAGTCAGAGCACATATCTAGGTTGTGGGTTCGATCCCCAGTCAGGTAGTGTATAGGAGGCAACTAATTAATGTCTCCCTCTCACACTGATGTTTCTCTCTTTCCCTTCCTATGTCTCAAAAAATCAATAAAAACATATTGTCAGGTGTTTTTTTAAAACAAAGAACATAGTATATACTGTGGTTTTTTTTCATTTTATTTTTTATTATATGGTCGTTTTTTAATAATCCAATCTTGAGTTGTTAAAATGTGGTTTTAAAATGAGAGGAAAAATATTTTCTGCATGGTCACTGTATTTATTGAATAATTGCTGAATGTCCCTATGTTCTTTTCAGTTATTCATTCTTTTATTCAATAGATATTGAAGAACTATCTTCATTTTTAATGATATTAGCCTAATATGGAGGCTGACATGCTTGGAAAGTGAAATAAAAGGAGAGAGTTTGATAACCAAAGGAGAGATCAGTAATAAGGCTCTTATAAGTCAGTGAAAGAGTGTATGAGTGCGTGCCAGGATGAGTGCAGTTTGTTCAAGGAGGGAACAATAAGTAATCAGAAAATCTTCTTGCCTCCTAATATGATTTAATACACTAACATGTTAATTATGTTAGAAAATTCATTTTAGAAATAACAGTTAATGTAATTTCTTAAAGTAGAATACAGAATTCAAAGTTGGAAAAGAAAAATCCTAATTGTAGTTAGATCTCATTCTATGCATGAAAAAAGCCCGAGACATGCTGTTTTACATCTGGCAAACATCCTAATTTCTTCTTGTTTAAAAACCATTTGATTTCCATTGCTAACTTGCATCTTTCCCATTTTATTTCATCTTCACCTGAGGATATGTTTTCCATTGATTTTCAGAGAGAGTGGAAAGGAGGGGAGAGGGGGAAAGAGAGAGAGGGAGGAGAGAGAGAGAGATGAGAGAGAGACACATTGATCAGTTGCCACTAGCACAGGCCCCCACCAGATCGAGGGTCGAACCTGCAACCCAGGTACATACCCTTGACCGGCATAGAACCCGAGACTCTTTAGTGCCCAGGCCAATGCTCCAACCACTGAGCCACGCCAGACAGGGCTTTCTCGCTGTTTTATATCCAGGTGTAGGTAGTACAGAATTGGCATTAGAACTTAGATCTCCGGATTCCAAGTCCACTGCCAATAGCACTCTATTTGGTTGCATTTTGCACACCAGAATTCTTGTTTTGTCTATACTGGGTTTTTTTTAATAATCTTTAATTTTCCAGTCATAGTTGACATACAATATCATATTAGTTACAGGTGTATACCCCAGAGATTAGACATTTCATAACTAAGTGATCATCGTACTAAATCTCACACCCATCTGAAACCATACATAATTATTAACTATATTTCCTCTGCTGTACTATATGTCTCTGTGACTATTTTATAACTACCAATTCTTCATCTGAAATTAAACTAGAAATTAATAATAAAGATAGTTGGAAAACCAAAACATATTTGGAGATTAAACAACATAATACATGTGTCAAAGAAGAAATATCAAGAGAACTTTAAAAGTATTTTGAACTAAATTAAAGAATTAGGTTTCTTATTTACTTTTTGTTCTTAGCTACTTATCAACTCAGAAAAACTGATGGGAGTTGGACAGCAGTCATAGGAGTTTCCTCATACTGAATTAGATTCCTTCAGTGCATTTATATATTGACAGACTGAAAACAATGTTAAAAGGTTTATGTGTTTTTAGGTTTTTTTTAAAGAAAAAGTATCCTTTCAACACCAGGGGTTCTATTTTTAAGTTAACCCAGTGGTTTTTAATCATCCATATTATAAATGCCCAGAATCTTCTTGCCTGGAGCGTCCAGGTCAGGGTGCCAGGAGCCCATGCATTCAGTGCTTCCATAGGTAATGACAGAGCAGGGGTTGATGGGGGATCTCGAACAATCTGCAGTGGCGCAGGAGCCTGGTTTTGACCCCTTATATTCTCAGGGTTGAGAAAGGGAGGAGAACAAATACATAAACTAAAGCCATTCATTTTTTACTTCAGCTTTGCTAATAAGTGTTTTACCCATTTTCACTAACACTTGTTTTCACCTGCATTCGTCATTCATAAGTATCTTTGTTTTTTACCATCTTAACCTTTTTTTTTATTGATTTGAGAGAGGGGAGGGAGAGAGAGGGAGAAACATTGATTTGTTGTTCCACTTATTTATACATTCATTGGTTGAGTCTTGTATGTGCCCTGGCGGAGATCAAACTGCACCCTTGGTGTATGGCAGGGGTAGGGAACGTCTGATCCCTATATGATCTGTGAAATTATTTGGTCTGGCTCTGCTAAGGCATCAGGGGTGAGTTAATTAAACTTAATTTTTGCAGGCTAATTTTTAAGTTGATAACGGCCCTTGGCAGGAAAAAGGTTCCCCAGCCCTGGTGTATGGGAACAATGCTCTAACCAACTCAGGAACCTGGCCAGGGTCCCATGTGAACCATTTTTTAAGTGTACAGTTCAGTAGTGTTAAGTGTATTCACATTGTTGTAAAACAGATCTCCAGAACTTTCTCACCTTGTTAAACTGAAACTATCCCCATTGAACAATAACACCTCTCTCCCACCCCCCAAACTAGCCCCTGGTAATCGCCATTCTGCTCTCTGACTCTATGAACTTGTCCACTCTAGGAACCGCATCATATAGGTGGATTCCTATGGTGTTTGTCTTCTTGTCACTGGCTTATTTTATTACGAGTAATGTCCTCTATCCACTGAGCCAAACCCGCTAGGGCCCTGTCTCCTTTCTCCATTGAGTGACTTGGCACCCTTGTTGAGGATCATTTGACCATATACAAAAAAGATTTGTTTGGGGCTCTTTATTCCATTGGTGTATATGTCTGTCTATTTGTGAGCGCCACACCATTTTGATTACTGTTGCTTTGTAATATGTTTTGAAATCAGGAAGTGTGAATCTGAATAATCTTGGCAAACAAAGAAGCCTCACAAGTATCCAGGAGATGGGGTCCACAGTCTTTTGCAAGCTGTTCTTGCCTCCCTCCACACACAGTTCTGGTAGAGGAAAAAAGTTACTGGCTATTCCGGGAACCTGTGCAGTGCCTGGAATTTCCTCCCACAGATACTGTCCCTGGAACCATCCAGCACCCGCTTCCCCTGGCCTTGTTGGCTCTTGTGTACGCAGTCTCAGAAACCTTCTCTCTCGGGCTCGAAAGACTGATAATTGGAGTGAATTAAGTGGGGACCAAGCTCACAGCCTGGAGCCGCCACTTCTCCTGTCTGAGGATGAGGAATTCTCATCTGACTCTCCCTCCGGGCTTGGGGAGCGTGTCAGGAAACAGCCCCAGATCCTTCCAGGTGCTGCAGTGATTCCCACACCTTCCTGGAGCTGACAAGAGATTTTCAGGGGACGGTTGGTGTGTGGGTGTGGGTGGGAGCTTGGGTACTCTTGGGTGGCAGGGATTTTTTGAGAAAGTTAAAGCAGTATTCATCATGGGGACTGTTTTTCGAGTTTGCCCGTCATCTCTGACACCTAGCCCCTGTGTGCTGTTCCCTGCAAGGAGGGCCCCGGTCCCTGCTTGGGAAGAGGGTGGGAGGCCAGGGGCCGGGGGAGTCCCGAGGGGCAGTCATGGAGGAATCGCTGCCGGTGCCCTTGCCTGGGGCTCAGGCTGTGAGCAAGGGAGGCCTCCTGTGCAGCGGGGTTTCGGGTCCCCCATTCCTTGGCTCTCCTATGATGGTGCTTGTTTTCTTAGACCTCGAGCTACAGTGGCCCAGACCGTCTGCCTGGAGGGATGGCTTTCCTCCCACGGGCTTGTTCCTCACTCTCCTTTCACAGGAGACCTTGTGCCCAAGTGTGTGGCAGGAGTTACTGACCCTGGAGAGCGAGGGTTTGGGGTGGTGTTGAAGTGATGCCTGTGCATGAGAGGAGGTGGGGTGGAGTCAGAATTGTTGTGCCATTTGTGGCTTTATAACCTCCTCCTGTGTACTGGATGCGTAGGAGCAAAATGAAAGGTTGTTTTCTTACAAATGTTTGAGCCTTTGTTTTTATGCCAGGTTTGCTTTACCGATTAAAAATGTTTACTTTAAGTCAGCAATTTTCAACTGTGTGCCGCAACAATTTTTAGAACATGCGATACCTGACCATTTAGTCTGGGGCACTGACCTCTTTTCCCTGAGATTGTCGCGTAAATGACATAACCAGCCAATGATAGGCAATACATGTGAATGAGTCTAAATTGTACCTATTCCTTTTGTCAGATTGGCAGAAAAAAATATACTTTTTGGTGTGTTGCAGAATTTTAGTGATTTTTGTGTACCCATGGGATGAAAAAAGGTTGAGAATCGCTGCTTTAGGTATTTGTGCTTAATTCTGGGCCTCAGTCTTCTAATTGGACTGCTTTACTGGGGAGGTCTTCTCAGAAAACAACCAGCTCGGCACTCAGATTGACCCTGATTAGAGGAGAAACGTCCACATAATTGGCCCAGCCATGTTTTCGTTCCAGATAGACTTTCAGTTTTTGTTTAAAGTTCTCCTAATGGCAAATTAGTTTCTATGGAGAATAATAAAATAAGTAACATTTTGGTAAAGTTACACAAACACCTTTATTAATCAGTGTCTACTCAGGCATTCATAATTTTTTAGTGTTCTCCTTGGAAATGACATACTTCCGTTTTGTCTCCTGCAGTTGACCAGATATACCATCTGGCCTCTCCAGCCTCTCCTCCAAACTACATGTACAACCCCATCAAGACGCTGAAGACCAACACGATCGGGACGTTAAACATGCTGGGTGAGTTGCCCTTCCTTGTTTTGCAGCTGTTGTTGGGAATACTGTAGACAGCCCATGTGTAGGCCTTTGTGCTGTGGAGCGTGATCCTGCTCTTGACATCCTCTCTCACCCGCCGCCTGGGCTATTTCACTGAGACTTTATTTGGCATCAGAATTGGTCGTGGGGAGATGGTCATTGTAGTAACTAACCAGTCTGTGTTGTCCCAGTTCAGTCCCCTGGGAATACCACCTGTGCTTCTGGTGAGGACCCAGCCTCCCTCCACTGTCCCCTCTGACTCACAGTGTGGTGCCTCCCTGCTGGAAAGGGCACTGGTGGCTCTGCTCCAAGATTGGGTTGGAGAGGATGACACAGACACACACACACAGCACACACCCCATAGACACACACAGACACATACAGCACACACACACACCACAGACACACACACCACACACATAGATACACCCCCACAGACACACCCCACAGATACACATACACTGGATGCACACCACACAGACAGGGAAACACACACACACACACACACACACACACGTTTCAGGAGCGCTCCTGGAGGGTGTGGGAGGACAACTGTCCTTACGGGGCTGTGGAAACCTAGTCCTGGCTCCAGACAGAACTGCAGGGCTCACTTAGGAGAGTGAGATGAGAGGAAGCCCTTAAAGGGCTGCATGAGTGTATTTCCACACGACATGAGTGATGTGCACATGTCCATGCTTGAGATGGGAGGCAGGGGTAAGCTGGGCACAGATGCCCAATACACTAGGGGTTTTGATTAGTTACAAACTGGAAAAAAGGAACCACTTTTTGAAATGTCAAGTAAAAACAGGTTTAGTTATAGGACATCTGAAGCAGGTTCTATAAATGGGTTTGGGAAGCTAGCACTCAATTTGAATTTGACTGAAGCCTCAGACAAGGGTCTGAAGAGGCAGCTGGAGGTTGGTTTCAAGGCTCGTAGACGACACGGGAGTCGAGCTCTGTGGGAAGTGAAAGGGCGTTTGTCTTCCTCTGTGTTGTGCCCGGCTTCTGCTTAGAGATACAGTGTGTGACAGGCTGCCCCGCCTTCGTCCCAGAGCTAGACACCACAGAGGAAAAGCCACTGAGCGCAGGATGCTTAAAAGATCTCATGTAGGCAGTGCAGTCAGGGCGCCCAGGGCACGGTCCTGGCATTGTGGAGGGCATTCAGATAAGGACTGTGCTCTGGCTCTGCCAGGGAACTTGGCCTCTCAGGCAAGAATGTACGGGCACAGGCAGTAGTGATTCCCAGGAGGAAGGGAAAGGTCTCAAAAAAGAGGCACCCGTGCAGGTGACTCTTGGGCTGGGGCCCGAACCCTGCGTGAGGTTGGACCTGGAGGTCTTGAAGGAATGACAGAGGGTTTTCAGGAATGACATGGACAGAAGCTGGAGAGGGACAGTCGCTAGGCCAGAAAGAGACCCAGATGGGACTTTGTATTCCGAACTGAGAGGAGCTGTTGCTAGCTGTTCTGCACTTGAGACAGGATGCCCCGAACGTCGCCCGGCCTTTTCCGGGTAGGGACCTGCTCTGTGCTTCACCGCCTCCCTGCTCCTGTGCCTGGCGTCTTCCTGATGCAGCCTCTCTGTCCAGCCTCTGCATAGGCACCGGGCCTGGCTGCAGCGCCGCCCTGTTCCCCTGGCTGCGGCCTGAGGCCCGGAGGCCCTGTGCGGAGGAGGCCAGCATGGAGGAGGCAGCCGTCACGAGTGCACCCTGTCAGTGCCCTGGTGATGATACTGAACTGTAGTTTTGCAAGTTTTTACCATTGGGGGAAACTAGATAAGGAAGGGGTACCTGGGATCTCGGTATTCTTTCAACTTAGAAGTTTAAAGAAAAGACCTCGGATCCTTCACTGTGAAGCAACTACCGTTGCCTCTGTGTCGTGATGTGTGGTCCGCCTCTCGGGCTCTGTGGGGTGAACTGGAGTGAAGGAGATGGGGCCGGTGTTGGGAGCCTACGAATTCCATGTCACACTACATCCTGCCCATTTCCTTCCTCAACCACAGGGGGCATATGCACAGGCTAGCTCCAAATCTTGTTTTCCAGCAGCTCTGTTCTCTTGTTCTCCGCGCACGTCCTCATAGCCCCCAGATGCTGTGCACTCCCACCCCTGGCCTCCTCATCCTAGGCCCTTCCCTTCCTTCTGTCTGCCCGGCTTCTCCAGAAGTGGCTGCAGGCTCTGTGCTCCCCCCTCCCGCTCCTCCTCGAAGCCCTTCCTGTGCCTGTGTGCTGGGTGCTGGTGCTGAGCCCGTCTGCACAGGGCTCTGTGGTGGAGGACATTTGGGAAGTGCTGGGTTAAGTGAAGGGCGTGGTGTCCTCTGTACCTCCTGCACATCGGGACTCTGACTCTGCACCTTGCGCTACCACCATAGATAAAGCTGTTCTCGTCCATTCTGCATGTCAGGGCGAATGCAGGAAAAGTTCAGAGCAGGGGCGGAATGTGGGGAGTTCCTTTGGGGAAGATGGTGCTGTTTAAGCCAAACCTGGAAGGAGGTGGGAGGATGGGGTGGGGGTGTCCAGACGGAGGCTGGTTCAAGCGCAGTAGACGGTGCCAGGAGCATGCGGAGAAAGTGTCAGGTGGATCATTTGGGGGCAGTAGTGGAAGGAAGTTAAAGTGCAAAGGGCATTATCTTATGCCAAACAGGGGGAAGCCACCTCATAACATAGTGTTGGGGCAAAGGAATCTTTGTGAAACTCCAAATCACACGTTATCAAACCCACAGATCCTGCATTTGGCCCTGCCTAGTTTATTAGCATCTCACTAAGTGCTGGGCTCCTCAGGGTTCACTTGTGCTTTCCTTACTGTTTTTATTGGTTTGTTGTTGGTGGTGGGGTTTTTAACCCCTTCTTTTCCAAAGTAGATGCAATAAGAGTGGAGACTGAGGATGCATGGATGTCAGATGCCATTAGCACTAAAAGATTGCTGAAACTGGCAACCAAAGTGGGCATGTGTGTTTCTTCCTTGTCTCCCTGAAGTGACGGTTGCTCTTGTGTCCCTGCTCTCTGTAGGGTTGGCGAAGCGAGTCGGTGCTCGCCTGCTCCTGGCCTCCACATCGGAGGTGTACGGAGGTAAGTGGGTGGGGCTTCTCTGGGGCGGTTCGAATCCTGTCTTAGGGAAGGAAGGAATCAAGGGTGGGTCCAGAATTCCATTTCTAAGGAGGCAGCGCTTTTTGACTCCGGTGCACAGCAGCCAAGAGGCTCCTGTGTCTGCTGTTGTCTCCGCATCGCAGACTCAGACTCTGCCTCCCTCCCGCTGAAGCACGCCCTCCCGGCCTGGATCACGGCTCCCTGGCGAGGAGGACTGCCGGTCACGGTTCCGCAGAAGTCGTTTTGCATTTTGTTCTGAGAGCACCCAGAAATCGATTCATTGGGGATTCTTTGCCCGTCTAGCAGGTGCACGTTATTCTTCAGTGTAAACAGTGGCGTTGTGAGCGACCCCGAGAACGGGGGGTTGGCCTTGAAGAGTGCTTCATGAAGGGACTTGTGCTGGTGCCTCCCTGTTGCATAACCGTTTCTGGAAGAATCTACCAGAAAACTCAAGGGTCTTTCCTGCCAGTCTGCAGCACTTCACTGCCCTCCGTGGGGAGTGGGGTGAGGGCTGACATGACAGGTTGTTTACGTGGATAAACACTTTCAGTTCACGTAGCAGCAGGAGCCAGGCTTGGCTGTGGTGGAACTTAGCCACCTCATGTACCATTTTGGACAGATAAATGTGGAGTGGAAGGGCAGCATGGAAGAGGCGGGTTGTTATTAACGAGAACCAATGGAAAAAGTCTGAGAAACGGAAATTCCACTACATGTAGTCATGTTCTTTGTAATCCTTGTGGAAAAGGAGAGCTCCGTCCACTTCTCTGAAGTCCTCCGGGTTAAAGGGCGGGACTGCCCACAGTCCCCTGTTCGCCCTGTTGCTTAGCAATGGGTAGGTGAGTGGCCCTGGAATTCTCCCTCCCTGTTCTGTCCATCTCAAGACTGCAGAGATCAGCAAGTTCCCCATGCGCATCGGATGGTCCCCTTTTTCCGCGGAGGGGCTTCCCATGTCACATAAGGAGAGGCGTTGACAGAGTCCTCGGCCTGTGTCTTTAAATGCCTCAGACACCAAGGTGCTCGAGTTCTCTGTCCAGGAGGGCCCGTGACAGCTCTCCACATCCACCGCTTTCTCCTCCCACCTCGTTATCTGAGCATTGGCAGTGGCTTCTGGTCTTCAGGGTCGTAAATACCGTCAGGGCTGCACTCCTGGGCCCACCTGGTGCTCTGCTCTGATGGTTCATGACCGCATAAACGCGCTGGGGCGTGCGTGCTGGTCTGCCAGCCGGCACACTGTGGGCAGGGGAGCCTGGTTAGGAAGTATGTCACTGGCCCTTTCCTTTTGTAATTTCAAAGTGATTGCATGAGAGACCTTTTTTTTTTTTAAGTATATTTTATTGATTTTTTTTACAGAGAGGAAGGGAGAGGGATAGAGAGTTAGAAACATCGATGAGAGAGAAACATCGATCAGCTGCCTCCTGCACATCCCCCCATTGGGAATGTTGCCCGCAACCAAGGTACATGCCCTTGACTGGAGTCGAACCTGGGACCTTTCAGTCTGCAGGCTGATGCTCCATCCACTGAGCCAAACCGGTCAGGGCATGAGGGACCTTCTTAAAGCTGTGCCATGGACTGTGGGCATTCCAGGGGTGGATGGGCATGCCCAGCCTTCTCCTCATCATTGGCCAAATTTCGGATCGTCTCCTTTGGAGCCTAGCTGGCCAGTCCTTGTGAAGAATCCCCAGGAAAGGTGTGATGGGGACCATCCATCACATCTGTGTGAATTGACGTCACTGGTTTTCTTCTCTCCGGGAGTGTTTGCCTGAGACCTCTCTCACCATGCAGTAAAGCGTGCCTCTTCTCAGGGGAGTTTAAAGCTCAGAAGCAGATAGAAGGTGTGCACCTGCCCTGAGCCTCCACCCCCCTCTGAAAGAGGTGCCGGTCCCAGTGGGCGACCACAGGGGCACGTGTGCGCCACGTCCCCTCCCTTGTGCCCACACGTCGAAGTCAGATTCTGCTACAAGTTACACAAGGAGTGAATTTACAACATAGGTTCCTGGACTTGTCCAGATTTCTTGGCAAAGATTTACACATTTTGTACCATGGGTGTACATGGTTGTATAAAATTCCTGGTGTACTAAATTAGTTATTAATTCACATTCCAAAAGTATACTTGTGTTAAAGAATTTATTACTGGGATTTCTTAAGTAGTCATTTCTCTGGTACATCTCAAAGTGTGATTGAATTACACACCAGAAACACGGGAATTGGGGACTATAAAACGTGTGCTAAAGGGACAAGCAGCCTTTGCTATTGACCTCCCACCGGCCCTGGACCAGGGCTCCTGGTGTCTCTGAGGTTTTGGTCTGTGCTGGGGATGGCACACGTGAAAGTCATCTTCTGCAGAGATGCTCTTATATTTTTTTTCATTAAATACATGCTTTGCTTTCCTCACATATTTTATAAATATAAAATTGAACCATGTATCTCTTCACATAGATTATATTTAATTATAGTTTGACAATGATTTAAAAGTTATGAACAATTTATGGGAGAGGGGAAGGCTAAAATAGAGAGCCTTTGATCTTTTCATTTTTTCTCTGTAAAATATGGTATTTAGCATGAGAGGTAAGAACAGCATATCCCACTGGAACTTAGTTGAATGTGGAACACTGAATTCTCTAGATACGGGTCTTTCCACATGTAAAGTTCATTTTGGTCTTCCCACAACTCCCTTTTGTATCATAAATCGTCAGTGTTCATCATGGGTATGAACTTGAAACAAGGAGGGATTAAAACACGGTCTCGTTTCTCCTTCTCATAGACCCTGAAGTCCACCCTCAAAGCGAGGAATACTGGGGCCACGTGAACCCGATAGGCCCCCGCGCCTGCTACGACGAAGGCAAACGGGTTGCGGAGACCATGTGCTACGCTTACATGAAGCAGGTATCGGCCAAGCTTGTGAGCTGGGGCACAGACATGTGAAGCGCCCGTTTCACTGAATGTGCAGCACTGAAGGAGTGAAATGCCATGATTACCTGCAGGGGGCGCTGGGAAGGAAGCCCAGACCCCACTGTTTTACATTAATGGTATTAGCAACAGTTTCCTTCCTTTAAAATGGTGCTTTCCAGGGGGTGAATTCCTCGCTTTGGAATACAACCGCAAGGCTCGGAACTCCATGCTGCTTTTGCCCACGTGCCGTGCCCACCAGCAGCCAGAAGTGCCTGTGTTTCCTGCAGCCCCCGAGTCAGTGGCTTATGCTTTTCACCTCCGTCTCTGTAGGTGTAAAGTGAGTGCATGGTTGCTCTCGTCTGCACCTCTTCGGGAGCTGTTATTACTGTATCTCCTGCTCTCCGTTACTCATTGCTTCCCTGGGGGCTGTCCCTGGTAGTTTCATGTCCCAGATTTGGTCCCCACACACTGGAGCGGACAGAGCCCACAGACTGAGGCAGAGGATGTGGTTCTGCCTGGCTCTGCTGCTGCCTCGTCCTCAGAGGTGTGGCCTGACCTCCTTGGTCACTCGGTGCTCGGCTCTGACATGGGCTCCGTGCATGGCCTGCCTGCCTCAGGCTGTGCGGGAGCCAATGACACCTCCAGACAGGCCCAAGGGACCGGGCAGAACCTGGCTAGTCCGTCCACTTGGTGACCATCCTGTTGTGCTTGGACCCGCGCTCTGAGCTCATGGACGTGCCCTTCATTAGAGGGAGGGACATGTGGACTGGACAGGCTTGTGCTCTCAGGACCTAAAGTGGAGTGGGCTGTGTCCCTGGGCCTGGGGTCCCTTCTGCCTGCAGAGAGCTGGGAGTTCAGAAGCCATGGGCTTCATGGGAGGGAGAGGCACTCTGGATGCCTGGTGCTGATGGCCAGGGTGTCCCTGTGCGTCTTCATTGTTGTTTTTAGTGAAATGCCAACATTAAAGCCCACAAAATAGCCTTGTGCTGATGTAGGTATTTAGGCCTTTCTTCCCTACTTCTCGGCCAGAAGCAGAACTGATTGCTTTCCAAGCTCCTTCGGGCCGTTGACCCATTTATTTTAAAGAAGCACTAACCAGTTCTAGAAAGGACAGACTGTCATCATTTTTGAGGCTAGGCTATCTTGACCCCAAAATATAAGATGGTCTCCCAGACAGATAGCACAGCCCGTATGCATGCTGGTACTTCAGAAAGCCTGAATGCCAGGGGACTTGCAGTCGCATTGTATCCACAGTAAGTGTGAAGAGGATGTGTCTCACCGTTTTCTTTTGCTTTCAGTCTTGTATTTCTCAGTGAATTTTTACAGAGGTACAGCTGGTGGGCAAATAGGACAATTTTATTGAACTTTTAATTTTTATTAAAGGATTAATAGTGTAACTTAATTGATAATTTTGTAAGTATACATATTACCTTATGGAATGAACTCATGATGATTACAGTATTTAGTAATGATACTAGAGGCCAGGTGCACAAATTCATGCATGGGTGGGGTCTAGCCAGCCTGCCCCGATGGGGGGCCATTGGGCTGGGCCGGCTGGGGAGAGGGGCTGCGGGGGGCTGGCCAGGGGGAGTGGGGGCCTGCAGGCAGTTGGCTGGCCGGCCCCACCCCATTCATGGTGGGGGGCAATCGTGGGCAGGGCTGGCCAGGGAGAGGGGCTGCGGGTGGTTGGCCAGCCAGCCTCGCCCCCAATCCTGGTGGTGGGGGTCGATCAGGGGCTGGGTCGGCCAGGGGGATGGCTGCAGGAGGTTGGGGGGGTCCAATCGGGGACCCAGTTGAGCAAGTTGGCTGCCACAGTGCACATCATAGCGACCAGTCGTTCTGGTCGTTGCGTCACTCCGGTCGCTTGGCTTTTTTATATAGAGATAGCCAGTGTTTGCTGAGCACCGACTGTATGCCAGGAACTGGAATACACCTCTGAGTGCTGGCAGGGCCCGCATTTCACGCAGATTAACACTGTCAGCCATGTCATCGGTTGGTGAGCTCTGGAGCGTAGCACCTGTATCACTCTGGACTGTCAGCATTTACACTTCTGCTCACATGGGTCCCAGGAGATGAATGGCACAGGTGGCATTGCCCTGGAAACTGAAGTAATGTGCCCATCGGAAGCCCCCGTGTGGACAGCTGTCTGTGGCGGAGTGCCCCTGCTCAGCGGGGTCCTTGTGAAGGACGCACTCACAGGAAGGATGATGCTCTGGAATGTGTGACATGTCTCATCACACGAGAGGCCCTAACAGCTGATGGCTGAATGGACGGAAAAGACACACCCCTGGCCAAGGTCACAGTGTGCCTGCCAAATGGGCTGGTCTCTGTTAGGCTCAGCCTGTGTCAGGGCTCAGTCAGCTTATTCTCCCCTCATTCCCGCAGCCCCTTTGAGGTGGATGTGGGCCACCCATTTTACAGATGGAAGAGTGGGCCCTAAAACTTGTTTCCAGCTCCCAGGCCTATAAGCAGAGCTTCAACCAGGCCTGGCAGCCCTCAGGGTGTGTTCCTCCCCTTTTCCTGCCATGCTGGCGGGCCATCGGGGGGTGAGGAAGCTGGGCCAGCGGGAGGAGATGCAGCTCTGAGTCCAAGGGCACCGGGTTCCTTTGATGCACAGTGAGGTAGTGACACCCAGGACGGGTCCAGGCTACACACTGCTCGAATCACCACTGCTCCGCAGGGCAGGGAGGCTGTGGCGGGAGCCGCAGCAGCTCGTGCGCACCCTTCCAGGATAGCAGCTTTTAGGGGAAAGTTCAAAACTATCTGTGGACTAATGTAAAAAAAAATAACCCGAAAGAAGGATGAATCTGGTGGGGTTCTATGTCTTTGGCATGTTTTAATTAATTATTTCATAACAAGTTATTTTTTAATACATAATGACATATTCACTTTTAAGTATAAATCATTGTTTTCTCTCCCAGATGGTATGTGGATATATATTTCTCTGAATCAATATAAGGATTGAGAATATAAACAAGATAAATACAAGTAGGAATAATCTTTGTATCGTTTCTCTTTTCCAAATAATTCTCTTCTGAGTCTCTCTTAATGGAATATGCTAATGTATTCAAAATAGAATTTGATTTCCCAGAAAAGAAGTCTATGGCATGTGTCCATCTTAGAGACACAGAGAGACACTCCCTTGGGTTTCCTTCAGGGGATGGGTGAGATGGAAGTGAGATCAAGGGCACAGCACCTTTGTGAATACTTTTAACTTGTCGGAGAGGCATTAAATGGTGGCTCTGTGTGCACTGGGTGTGGTGGGTTTGTAAATGTGGGGACTTCTCCGGTGGGTGTGGCCAGCTCACCGCCCTGCAGAGCCTGATGCTGCAGATGTGTGGCCCACCCACTGGGCAGGGTCAGCAAACAGGCCGCCATTCATAACACCAGACCAGCAGAGCAGAGGCACAAGCACTGATGGTCATCTAGCCCGTGGCTGAGGAAATAGCTTTGTTTTACTCTCAGGCATCAAAATACTTAAAAAGTAGTGGTTAGTATGTTCCTTATATTTTAGTTTTTAAAAAGCACTCAACAAGCAGCTGAAAAAAGTCAAGGGTTCTTTTGGTAGCATTCACACCCTGGGGTCAGACCCTTGTGGCCTGGACCTGCCCAGCGCTGCTGCCTGCTGGCTGGGCACCCGCCCTCCATGCCTGCTGTCCTCCTAGGAAGTGTGCCCTCCTAGCCTGGACGTGAGCTTAGCCTGCTGTGTAGCAACACTCAGGCCAGGTGGTTACGACCCAGCGAAGCAGGGCTGTTGGGGAAGATTGCTAGGCAGACAAGTGCTGCTGTCCCTGACAGGTGTGGCCTCCCTCTGCCAGGACACCAAGTGGGAATTGCATGCCCCAGAGCCTTGCTCAGCAAAGGGAGCTCTGCATTCTGTGAGAGCCTCTTCCTGCCCAGGTGGGGAGCAGAGCGCATCAGATGTGGGTGTTTCTGCCTCAGGCCTGCGTGGCTCTGTCCCTCTCAGGGGCCTGAGGAAGACTAAGAAAGTGTCAGAGAGTAGGCCTGCTGGCCCTGGGAGTACTTCCCATTAGCTCTGCCCTGTCCCCACAGGTAGAGAGGCCCGGGGGCCTCTCTCGGGACAGGCTGTCCACACAGTGGAGGGCGGTCCTCTCCTGTGAGCACCGCTCTCCCTGCGCGCTGCTTCTCTGTCCCACCTGCACCTTCCGTCAGTGAAGATAGTGACCACGGCCACACTGTGTGTTCAGGGCCGGAGCCGGCTTGCCAAGCAATGGCCACATAGGGGAACTGTAGGAGACCATTGAATCCCTCCTGGTAACATCTCTGTCCCTGGAGTTGTTGGGGAGGGAGGAAGCCCTGTCCCTTCATTGCACCACCTGCCTCCCCAGCCCCTTACCCCGCCGGCTGAGTCAGATGCAGGAAAGAGGCATTCGGGTGCCCCTTTCCCATCTGGGGTTGTATAGTACCCCAGTCTAGCCACTGTTTCCCACCCCCAGGCATTAAAGGGCTCCTGGGCTCCTGGTGGAAATGTTTCTGAGATACTTTACATGGGGTTCCCATTGCACCAAGATTTAGTAATCAAAGAAGGAGGTCAAAGTTCAAGGGTAGATACCAGGTTTAGAGCCGTCACTTGGAAATAGACAGGAATGATGGCCGTTTCAAAGCAGATTCGTGTGTTTTCTTTAAACTCGGTAGATGGATATTACTGTCCCCATTCCAGAGATTACCATCTGAAATCTGGGCATCTCAAGTGCCTTCCCAGGAATGTGCAGCTGGTGAGGGCCAAGACCTCCCCGGGCCTCGGGGCTCCCCCAGGCATTCCAGCGCGGCTCCCTGTGTGTGCCTCAGATGCTGGCCCACTGCTGTTATGTCGGGTGACTCACTCTGGCGGAGTTATGCTGGCCCTTGATAAACCTCTTGAGGCTTGGAGACATGAGTGAGTGAGTGAGTCACCCCACCTGGGACAAGACCATGGGCACAGTGAAACCAGCCCCTGTCCGGCCATGTGGCACAGGCCCTCCTCCTCGCCGGGGTGAAACATGCACCGCTTAGTGGTCAGCAGACTCCCTGGCAAGTGGGGTGCTGAGTGCAAGTCAGCAGCTTGTGTTGTGCACTGGTCCTTCAGAGGAGGGTCTCCTTAAGAGAGGCATGGTGCCTGGTTTTCTACCCTGGGAGGCAGGCTTTGGGTCACTGGCCTTTCCTCAGATGGGGAGTAATTATACCTTCCTCCAGGATGTGGGTGCCACCACACAACCTCCCTCAGCAGCACGTGGGTGCCTGCTGACTCTCCCCATCCTGCGCAGGGCACCGCAGGAGGAACCCCAGGGGCTGCGTGTCAGGTGGCTAATGAGCTGCCCGCGGTGGCACCCGGTGCCTCTGTCCTGACGCTGCATAGGAAGAGCCCGTGCACGAGCGGGGAGCAGGGCTCAACCGGGGGAGCCTGGGTTTGTGCTGATTTGATTTGGAAAGTGAGGCTTAATAGGGAGCCAGTCTGGGTGCAAACTGGGCTTGAGAGCCAGAGTTGTTGAAAAATCATGTGACCATCTCTGCAGCTGCACCTGTCCCAGGCGTTGTCCTGTGCTACCTGAGGTGACGATCCAGATGGGAAAATCAAAACAGGCAGCTTCCTTGTGGGTGGCCAGGTAGTGTCTGCAGAACTCCGCTTTTAGGGAGCCGTGTTCTGGAACGTGCCTGAGGAAAAGGAAGGCCGAGGACAGAAGTGTTGCATTTGCTGCAACCCTTATAAGCCCATTGACCCTCCTGCCAAGCATGTGGATGTGACTGTTTTTCTGGTCTCTTCCTAGAATGAAGCCACATTTATCCCCTTCTGATTCTTTCCTCATCTTAACAATGAAACACAAGTCGATTCTTCTGAGTTATTTTCTGTTGAGTTCAATACCTCTGTCCCTGCCTCCTTCCTCCCTTCCCCCATATTTTTTGAAATATTCTCTGTTCAGTAGAGAAAAGGGCTGATTTCAAATTGCTAGACCAAATATAACAGCTCAGCCCTAAAAATCTGAAAAGCCATGTGAAAGTGTTTTAATTATTATGTATTGCTGGAGGAGTTCGCAGAAATATAGTGGGCCCTTGGGACCCTTTTAGGAAACTTGGGTTCCTAAAAGTTAACTGTGTGCTAGGTCCATCATTTCCAACCATGTCCTGTCTCAGCACATGTAGAAACAGCACACCAGGGACCTGGGTGAGGCGCTGTGGCCAGCTGGGTGGGACATAGGTGAGGCACTGTGGGCAGATGGGTAGGACATAGGTGAGGCACTGTGGCCAGCTGGGTGGGACATAGGTGAGGCACTGTGGGCAGATGGGTGGGACATAGGTGAGGCGCTGTGGGCAGGTGGCCAGTGGGTGGGACATAGGTGAGGCGCTGTGGGCAGATGTGGCCAGTGGGTGGGACATAGGTGAGGCGCTGTGGGCAGGTGGCCAGCCGGGGGGCTCCAGCCTCTTTGAGGTCTGACGTGGGCCCTTGGGACCCGGCAGCTGATTGCTTTTAGCTCACTCCCCTGGGGTGGAATTCTGTGCTGCACAGCCTCCTTAGCTAAGGGTCTGTTTGGCTCCCAGCTGTGCCAGGTGTAAGGTGGTAAAATAAGAGAAGGAAAAAACTATTTCAACCAGTAGTGACAATAGCAACACTTAAGTATCACTGGGCTTGTGCTGAGGGCAACACAGGCTTCATGGTGCAGGTGCCCAAAGAGAGTGTTCACACTGCTGCTGTGGGTGAGATGTGGGATATGTCTGACTTTCTTCAGTGTGACTGTGTAGTCTTCAGGTGTGTGTACTTCAAGCACACTGCGCGTGATAAAAACAAAACAGCCATTTTCACTTGGAGTGAAAAGCAGACCGTTTCTGACATGTTTATGTGCAGGGCACTGGGCATGCAAAGCCTCCCAGCAGCCGTGGAGCTAAGCCATCTCACTCTGCTCCCTGTTCCAGGAGGGCGTCGAAGTGCGAGTGGCCAGGATCTTCAACACCTTTGGGCCGCGCATGCACATGAACGACGGGCGGGTGGTCAGCAACTTCATCCTGCAGGCGCTCCAGGGGGAGCCGCTCACGGTAGGTGCCTGCTCAAGTGATGAGTGCGCGCTGGGTCAGGGGTCAGGGTCCTGCCGCTGCCGCTTGGGGTTTCTGTATGTCCCGGCACTGCTAGTGGCTGGGAGGGGAGGCGCATGCATAGGATCCGGGAGAGGGATGACCTGGGTCACCTTGCTTTCGAAGCCTGCCGAGAACATGGAGCATGGGCCGCGGGCGTGGTCCACACTGCCCAGGCCTCGGGGCCTGTCTGCTGTGCCGGCCTGCCTGCAGAGACCTTCCCGGATGCTTGCTTGTCCCACTGGCTGTAGCCAGGGTTGTGTCTGTGCTCAGGGGCCGCTCAGGTGGCCGAGAAATGGACATTTGTCTGGTTGGTTTGGGCACTTTTCTCTGACAGGGTCTCTCCACTCGGGAAGCTTCGAGCCTGGGGCCACCTGGTGGGTTGGGGTCAGGGGTCCAAGTGTGTGGCAAGGAGGAGGCCCCGCTGCTCAGTGCCCTCAACACCCCCTCAGCCTGCTTGGCCAGGCGTTTGCTGGTTAAGTTCGGGTGGTTTTCTCCGGTTTTGTCAAATCCTCAGTTCCCTCCTCTCTCCTCTTCCTGCTTCTCTCTCCCTCTGCCTTTCCCAGTCCTCTCCCTGCCTTCCCACCTCCATTTCTTTGCTCTTCACTCTGAGGTGCTGGGAGAGCTCAGTGCTTGGTGGAACTCTGAAAGTTCTGCAGGGCCGTTTGCTTGTCAGCTAAGTGTGTTCCTGGGGGAATATGGCTGCATGGACATACGAATCCATCTGTCCATACGTCCGTCTTCCTTTCTCTGCTGTCTACTAATAGAGTCAGTTACTGTGTCTGTTCTTTGATCTTTACCTGTTAATTCATTTAGTGCTCACAGCAGATCCCTGGGTGCAGGCGACTTACTGTGCCTGGTTTCCAGATGCGGAAATGGCAGCACAGAGATGAGATAAGGTGCCCAGGCCTACGTGGCCAAATGTTGGCAGCTGTGTTTGAACCCAGAGTCTCCGCTCTTGATCACCGTTCTTAGGTGTGTTTGCTGTACCGCCACCAATTTAGCACCAAAAGCTTTGCCAAATTAGAACCAAAACAATGATGTGGCTTTTCCAGGGGAGTTTTGTTTAACCCATTGTAGGGAAGAGGTGAAGTCAGACACCAGCTCTGCCTGCGTTGGTGTCTGAGGACAGGCACACTGGTCACACACACTCAGTCTTCTCTCCCTCACACCATGTGGGACCCACCGCACACCCAGTGGCCTTGCCCTGAGTGGATCCAGGCGCCTTCTCACCTCTTCTCCCACTGCCCTGGTCCATGCCTCCTCCTGCTCCCATTTTATTGCTGTGGCCCTTAAACACTCTCGACCCAGCAGCCAGAGGGAGCCTCAGGTGAGAAGTCAGGAGCTCTAGCCTGTGTGCCCCCGGGAGCTGGACGCGGCTGCCGCCAGGACTGCAGGTGGTCTCTTGACACCTCCTGGCAGGCGCAGGATCCCCAGGGCCTTTCAGAACGTGCCTGTTTCCTGTCACAATATTAACTTCGAAGATCACTGGCCAGTGGCTCAGTTGCTTGGAGCATCGTCCTGTGCACCAAAGGGTTGCAGGTTCAATTCTCTGTCAGGGCACATACCTGGGTCGTGGGTTAGATCCCCGATAGGAACACATGTGGGAGACAGCCAGTCGATATTTCTCTCTCTTTCCCTCCTTCCCTCTTTTCCTCCCTTCTTCTGTCTCTAAAAATCATTAAAATCATATCCTCAGGTGAAGATTACAAAAAAAAAAGATTACTGATTACAGATCACTGGAACATATAATGATAAAGAAAAAGTGTGTAACAGACACAGTGAGCCGATGCTGTTGGGAATGGAACTGATAGATGCTCAGGGTGCCACACACCTACAGTGTGTAAAGGCACAGGGCAGTGGAGCGCAATCCGAGCAGGCAGCCTGTCTGCAGTACCTGCGGGGCACGGTGACACAGGCATGCCTGTCTGCAGTACCTGTGGGGCACGGTGACACACGCTGCCTGTCTGCAGTACCTGCGGGGCACGGTGACACACGCTGCCTGTCTGCAGTACCTGCGGGGCACGGTGACACACGCTGCCTGTCTGCAGTACCTGCGGGGCACGGTGACACACGCTGCCTGTCTGCAGTACCTGCGGGGCACGGTGACACAGGCATGCCTGTCTGCAGTACCTGCGGGGCACGGTGACACACGCTGCCTGTCTGCAGTACCTGCGGGGCACTGTGAAACACGCTGCCTGTCTGCATGCAGTACCTGCGGGGAACGGTGTAGCACGCATGCCTGTCTGCAGTACCTGCGGGGCACGGTGAAACACGTATGCCTGCCTGCAGTACTGTGGGCACGGTGAAACACGCATGCCTGTCTGCTACCTGTGGGCACGGTGAAACACAGCATGCCTGTCTGCAGTACCTGTGGGGCACGGTGAAACACACATGCCTGTCTGCAGTACCTGCGGGGCACGGTGAAACACACATGCCTGTCTGCAGTACCTGTGGGGCACGGTGACACACGCATGCCTGTCTGCTTGTTGCCAAGTTGTGTGAGTCACACACGGGAGCTGCTTATTGAGCTTTAAGCTTATCTTGAAGAGACTTTAGTTCACAGTTCAGTTAAAACATGGAAACATGCAAACGCCGTCAGAGCAGGGTTGATTCTGCTGTGCCGCCTGGCTGTGTTTGTTTAGGTTGCAGGTGAGGAGAGAGCTTCACTGAGGTGGTTTTCCCAGGACAGCCCACGTGGGGCAGACATAGGGTTTGAACCTGGGTCTCTGTCATTTTAAAACCCTTGCTTTTTCCAAAGGAAATTATGGGGAAGCCATACTTCTAAGACCAGTCCGAAGTTAGTATTTTATTTACTCCTCGTATGGATACCGTGGGCTGTGACTCCTAACTTGAGCCCTTCGCCCATGCACAGATGAGAAGCGCTTAGGCACTGGAGGCCCGGCGTGGGGTGGTGCCGTGCTCCCGGTGCTCTCCCGCGGGTGCTCCCCCTGGCCTGTGCGCAGCGGCCTGCCTCCGTCTGGGAACCCCTGAGCAACCAGGCCGCTGTGACCTGCACACAGTGCTTAGTTCCCGGGCCTTGTTGTTTTTCCCACATTCACTGAGCTCTTCGCTGTGCTGGGCTGTAGTGGGGCAAAGGTGGGTTGGCCCCGATTCCTGGCCCAGGGAGCTCAGCCGGGGAAATTGGTATGAATCGATGAGCAGAGGACTGTCCCAGAAAGGGCAGAGCAGGGACTTCTCTCCTGGGAATGAGCCAGAGGCGGTGTCCCAAGAAAGTGGCATCCGAGCTGGTCCCTGATGTGAGGAGCACTGTGCCAGGAGCAAAGCAGGTACGAGGCAGAGATGTGGCAGCATCCAGTGGACAGGAACAGAGCGTGAGACTCCCTCCCCCCCACCTCCTCTGGCTCTACCCAGAGTCGCCTGGGTGATTCTCAGCCTTGGCCACAATTGGGATGACCTAGGAAGCTGTTGTAAACACATCTACGCTGGGTCCTGGCAGAGGCTCTATGGCCTGGCCTGACCGAACCCAGCTTCCGGACGGGCAGCCCGGTGGAGGACTAGGTGGGAGGCCTGAATGCAGTGTGCACGCAGGTTTCTCGCCTGCTGGCTCCTGTCCCAGAACCTGACATACTCCCCGGCACGTCACAGGCCTGATGACAGGGGACGCCTTCTGAGGATGTCTTTTGAGGAAGAACTTGATGCGTGTGAACACACACATGCATACGTATTTCCTCCCCTTCTCACCGTTGGGCAGTGTTGAAGCACCCACACGAGGCCTGACTGTCTGTCTCCTCCTAGGTGTACGGATCTGGGTCACAGACCAGGGCCTTCCAGTACGTCAGGTAAGACGGCCGGGCCTGCTGGGAGCTGGTGCCGGCCCGATGGGCGGCGTCTGTTGTAAGTAGCGGCAGCCCCGCTCCATGAAAGTTCTTCCACGCCCCTGGGAAGCGGAAAGTGTGCCTGCTCCCGACCTAGGACTCCTGTGCCAGCCCCTTGCTGCCACCTAGCGTCTTGTAGGTAAACTTGCTTCACCGGAGGGCAGTTGAGTTTAGTTCAGGCCAACTTAAGATTTGGCTTTGATCATCCAGCAAACCCACAGACCCGAGAATCTGACCCACTTTAAACATGGCATTCTGGGTGGATGAGATTGTCCTCACTGAGGCAGGGGTGAGGCAGTGTCTTGCTGCTGCCGTGTTGTTGCCTGAAATACATTTAAGCAGTTGGTCCACAGCCTCACACGGTGATTTTCCTTGTCCTCTTGGTGTGGGGATTTTGTTGGTCAGTTCCGTCGGTGACTGATTTAAAATGCAGTTTTGGTTCTGAGAGAAGAGTCACCATGTGAACAATTCCATAGACCCAGGCCCTCTCCCGGGTGGCCGTTCCTGGGAATCCCCTGTGAATCCGTGGTATCCTAAATTGTAAGATTCAAGGTATTTTCACTTCCCCAGTGCAAACCCTGGAATGCCTCTCAGCCAGCAAGTGCGGTTCCTGGTGCCTTGAGGCCATCCCAGTTTGCTGTAGTGGTGACTAGGTGGCAGTGGGGTGCAGTCTGGGCAGCCCCCCGCCCTGCCCTCAGCCAGCGTGGTCACATAGACTTGTCTGATTATGTGAGGGTCCAGGGTAGAGTCATATTTCTGTACCATGACCATATTAACACATTGCGGACAGATACAAGAATCTCGCTTCATAATACACAGTGCTTTACAAAGTATCATACTTTAAAAAGATATTAGCTTGTAAGAACATGTAATAAATAACTTCAAAATGTAATGGGTATTTAATTTTAAAACGTGCCTGTACCATTTATGTAAAACGTTTTTTGTACTCGTTCAATAGAAACTTACCTGGCCACTGGGTAAAGCCAGCAATAAAACCACTGGTCTGCAATGTGTTCATTGGCCTTCTGTGTATTGAGTACCATCCTTTCGTAATAGTATGTTCACCCTCCTGCGGGATCTAGCAGGCTCCAGTTACACTGACTTTCCTGAAGCCACCTCGTCAGTGCTCCCCACGCTTCTCCAGCTGTGGCACCTTGTGAATTTAGTGAGAAATGCAGGGTAAAAGGGAGGTCCTTCAGAACCCAGACTTCTTACTGCTCTCATTATTTCAAGGCATGAGATACAAAATCACTAAAAATAGCTTTAGGTACTTGCTAGGGATTAAAGTGATTTAAGAATTTAGTGATGCAAGTGTCACATACCATCCAGCTTGGGATACGCTGCCTGGCCTGCTCTGATGGGCACGGCTCACACACGCAGTCGTCATCAGACACCAGCGAACAATCTGAGGACGGGTCTTGGAAGTTTCCCTGGAAATGTGACTGACAACCCTGTCCCGAAGCACTTTCTTCATAATACTGCGTCATCACTTACACTCCCTCCGCTGGACATCTCTGCGTCTCGTGTCAGTAGAGGCCGAGATGACGAGGCCTTGTGACTTGACACACCGGCAGAGGGCTTTCCTGACTTCCACTCTCGGTTATTCAGGACTCAGCTGAGAGAGTTCACTTACCAGAGTTCTGTGATTTTGAAAAAGCTGTTTCTGACTTAGAATCTTTTTGCTGCACAGTTAGAAGTGCACAGTGTCTGAGTCTGCAGTTACTGTACTAACCCAGCCGTCTCCGGGTGTCACGGCCACAGCACTCCGGGTCCAGAGGTCGGGCACAGGCACCGACACCCTGCAGAAGGGGTTGACGCCAGCACGCTCAGGGCACATCTTCATCCGCACAGCCAAGGCTTGCTCTGGAGTTTTTTAGAGTTGCTTTGTCAAAATGACGCTTTTAAAGAGCTGAGCTTCAGGTTAAATGAGAGAGATCCATGCAATTTTGAATTTAAAAATTGACAGTTATTAACATAAAAGATGCATGACCCGCCCTGCACTCCCCCAGTGAGCTGGATTGCAGAACAGTCATCTTCCAGCTTAATAAGGTTCTCCCTCCCCAGTTGCAGTATTAAAAACAGTTGGGGACTGCTGAATGGCAGCTTGAACGTCGTTTTATGAACTTGTGGGATGTACGCCACAAGAGAGTGTGCTGTGGGGCACTAATCACTGCCATGGTGACGAGGCGACTTTTTGTCAGTTTCTAGAAGAGAGATTCTCCCAAGTCAGCTGTTGCTGGCATCAGTGCTGGAAGCCGGGAGAACAGAACAGGCTTCAGGCGTCTTCATACAAAATACCCATTTGCCTTAAACAAAAACCCAGAAAATTGTTTACTAAATACCCCACCAAAAAATGTTTTCAATGAAAGGAAAGCAAAAGCAGGTTTTCTTTTGGAAGTTGGCCACAGTAACCTCTCCTTTCTGGTGACGATGGAGGAGGTGGAGGAGGGAAAGTTTCAAACAGGCCGCATTTGGATCACCAGAACTTCAGAGTCGTCCGAGACAGCGGTCGCCAACCTTTCGGACCTCACGGTGTAGAGCAGTGAGGTGTCATTTTTACAAAGTAACTTTTTGTTTTTAGCAGAGCCACACTTTAAAACTTCTGAAAATAAGAAACAAACCTTGGTAAGCGAAAATATGCTTACTTATTTCCCCTTCATGGCCAGTGGATGACGAGTTATTTGAAATATCCAGATACCTCTTTCACAGGTGTGTGGAGTGGGGTGGGGTGAGCTGAGCATTCAGGGAGTCTGGAGCAGCTCCGTTATGTCCACGCTCGGTGTCTGCTTTCCCTGTGCTTTGCCAGGTGGGAACTCCACACGGAAGGCTTTCATTCCAGTGGGTCTCACTGTTTTTAGTCATCTACTTTCCCATGGGCCAGCTCCCTGGGTGCACAGGTTCCATGCACTTTCAGCAGAAACTTGTATCAACCCCGTTGTTTCTGGGCATGTGCCTATTTTATTTATTTTTATTTCGTAATTGTGAAAGGGTTTTAGAAATTGATAGAAGTAAAGCACTCAGCCCCATCACTCAGCTTCCTCCTGTTCAGCCGTCTGCACCCTCCCAGGAGAGCAGCCCGGGAGTCCTGTCGTTTCACCCAGGCGCTCTGGCGCTCTCCACGCCCCGGCATGCAGGATTTCAGTGTGACATCCACCTTTCCATTGGGTTTTGGTGTCCTTCCGGGAGGTGGCTGGGTCCTGATGCTCCGCGCCTGTGTGCTCAGCACTAGGCACCTGAGCAGCCTCCCTTCTCTCCTAGCGACCTGGTGAACGGCCTGGTGGTCCTCATGAACAGCAACGTCAGCAGCCCCGTCAACCTGGTGAGTGGGCCCCCCCTCCCCGTCTCAGAGCCGCCACGCTCCTCCTCTGTGACCCGCGAGAAGCACCGGGCTTGGCTTGGTGGGCTGTGACGCTCAGGGCAGGCGTGCTCACTGCTTGCTGGGTCCTAGAGAGGAAAACCCACAGAGTAAGACAGTAAGAGAGGACACAGAAGTGCACGTCTGCAAGGCGTGGAAGCGAGTGTAGTGAGACTGAGTCAGCTCGCGCCTGAACTGGGTGGAGCGTTTTGGGACTGGCAGACGGGCATGTCCTGGAGCGTCCTCTCGCAGCATTTAACATGCAGGCGCCGAGAGGCCTGACCAGGTCAGGTGTGAGAGGTGGAGGGGTGGCGGAAGGTTCCAGGGGCCTGTGTTTCAGCCGCACAGACCATCTGTGTGCTTCTCCTTTGTCACTTCCTGAGTCCAGCACCTCCGTGTTGGGGGTTGAAAGGTCACAGTCTCGGCCCTGAACACATTTAGTGCCAGTGGGCTTGCTTCTCAAAAGGAATGTGTTCTGTCTGTGGCTAGTTCTGGCCGACAGGAAGCTTTCCCTTATATTTAGGACTAAAATCTCATTCCCTGGATGCCCAGTTACTAGTCTGCCTCCTCTGCGTGCTGCCTAGCGGTGTGGTAGCCTTCTAAGGTTGAAGGGCAAGGTCACACCGCCAACTCCTCTCCAGCTCTTCAGGCAGCATTCCTATCAGCTGGCTCCTTTGACCCTTCATTCGCTGTCTGCTAAACAGTTTTCCGTCTCGTTCCCATGCAAGGTGTCCCATGTAGACTGTCCCGCACTCAGGGTGTCCTGCTTCTGCTGATGGCCCTGACAGGAGCCTCCGGCCCTGAGTTCTCCGTGGGGCACTGACGCTGCACATGTGTGGGTGATGGTGCCGGCCTTGGCCGATGCAGTTACACTTATAACCAGACCCCTTTCTTCCATAGGGGAACCCAGAAGAACACACCATCCTAGAATTTGCCCAGTTAATTAAAGACCTTGTGGGTAAGTAGGGCACACACGTTCCTGGGTGAAAGCGTCTGCACTTTCCTGTCAGTCAAGACACCTGGTCTGGAAATGTGTGCTTGACAGAAGCTAAGTGAGGTGGATAAAATGCAGACCTTTATCAGGAGCACTTAATTGTCTTCTGCTTCTTTAAGAAATGGGAAGATGGAGACCACGGGGTGGGCAAGGAGGTGGGTTTTGTTCCCCTTTGTAATTGTAGGTGTACGTGAGTGGGAAGTATAGTGCCCAGGGGAGACCTGGTGATGGTAGCTCCCTCTGCACAGGTGACAGGTGTTTGATTTCAGACACTGGAGAGGTGCGGACTTAAAATCCAAGTGGGCCACAGTGTAACCACCTGTTTCTGTGGGCAGCTGTGTGACACACCCCAGACCACACGGGCTGAAGCAGCAACCGTATCATTTGCCCAAGATTCTGTGAAGAGGCTGGCCCCCGAGCAGGTTTCTTGTGCAGGCCTGGCTGGGGCTCCCTGGTGTGGCTTTGTTCCGGTGGCCAGCAGGGTCTGGGTCCAGCAAGGATGCTGAACAAGCCAGGCTCTCTGTCCTGCTTGCGGCCTCTCCAGCGGGGTTGCTGGACATCTTCATGTTGCTCAGGTCTCGCTCCTGCAGGCACATCAGTGCCCAGGTCTTAGTTAGGCATCAGCCTGGAGCTGGCCCAGGGTCATCCCCCAGCACTCAGCAGTTAAGTGAGTTAAAGACCCCCCCTAACTCTGGGCGAAGGCCTGGTTCAGGGCATGACCGGTGTTCAGTGGGGGCAGCAGGGTCATAGTTCCCTGCACACGCATGTGACCACGCACCACATTTGCCTTTTGGAGTCGTGCTTGGTGGGCACACCTGCCATGCTAGCTGGTGGTGGGTGGTCTGCCTGGGAGCAGGCCCTCAAGTTTCACTCAGGCCTGTAGCAGCAGAGTAGCCTGCCCATCGCCAAGCTCTTGTGGGGTCAGAAGCACAGTCCCATAGGCGGCTGAAGGACTCCATGAGACGCGCCACCCAGCCTGTACTAGTCATTTGACATGTGTAGTGAAACGCCACATCCCTGGAGGTTGGTGATGCTCTCCTACCTTTTCTTTTTTAAAACAACTCAGGTAGTGGAAGTGAAATTCAGTTTCTCTCCGAAGCCCAAGATGACCCGCAGAAAAGAAAACCAGACATCAAAAAAGCGAAGCTGATGCTGGGGTGGGAGCCTGTGGTAAGTGGGGACCCGTGTGTCTCTCGTAGATGCATAGGAGATACGAGGGGAAAATGAAATGAGTAACTCAAAGATGTGATTTAGAATTCAGGCTTAACCACTGTCTTTATAGGGAAAGAAGAGAGGGATGTAGGCCTTTTAGGGGAGAGTAAATGACCTAAGAAAGTTGAATGAGCCCTTAGAAGAATAGATGGGAGATTACTGATAGTTTGTGACAACATTTATCGGCTGACAACTTTAGTGTCCTCTCCCATAATGTATCCATCCTTCCTAGTTGATGAAACTCTTTGGGAAGGATTTTTGACAACTGAGTTCTTTTGTGGAGGGTTTATCTTAGACGGATAAGGGAAGCTCAGAGGAAGCCTCTCCCTGCATTTCTGTTTTTCAAGTGCCTACAGCTCAGACCCAGCAGTGTGCCAGAGTGGCAGATCGGGGGGGGGGGGGGGGGGGGGGGCATGTCCTGAACTCCTACAGACATGTTTTGGGGTGGCATGTTCTGCTACCCTTCAGCGGTCTAGGGAACTCTGAGTAGAAGGCAAAATGTTGAACCTTAAAGAGGTGTGAGAATATCCACCTTGTCCTTATTGTATCCTGTGATCTACAGTCTTAGTGATCAGCTGAAGGCACAGAAATCTGCAGAATGAAATAAAACTATGATTATGCCCAGACTTAACGAAGTCTACTGTGTAACAGGACCAGCTGTACGAAACAAGGAACAGCGAGCACAGGCCTTCATGTTCAGAAGGAATGTGTCGTTGGTCCCTTTCTAAGTAGAGCCTGTTTTAAGCAAAAAGGCCTTGAATAAAGTCAAATGCACATTCACTACATAGTAACTGTGGCTCATAACTTATGTGAAGTGTGTATACAGGGGTACTTTTATTTGTCTGGAGTTAAGTATAATATTATAGCATTCTTAGAACATAAGTCACCTACTGCTAAGAAAATTGTTGAAAGATCTTGTCCAAAGAAGCTTTAGTCAAATCCAACTTAATATTCCCTGTTTGTCTGCCTCTAACAGCTTTGGTGAGATTGGCATACAGCAAACTGCCGTATTTAAACTATTCGATTGTAAGTTTTGACATGAAACCATTTCCACCAAGCTAACAGGCATATCCTACTCCCCAGTTTCTGCCCCTGGGCAGTGCTCTCTCCACGTCTCCTTTGGTCTCCTTTGTTCTTTTAATGGGCAGCTGATTTGATTTCCATTTCCTGTTTGCTGAAGGGCTGCTCCAGGTTAAGATTGCTTTCTATAAGGTCCCTCTCAGAGTCAGCCCCTTAGGTCAGGGCGGTGAAAGTGCAGAGGGTCAGTGTCGGTGAGGATGAGGTATGTGATCTGATACAAGTGCTTCCAGAGCATCTTCCCTCCATGGTAGGGGTGTGTGTGCGTTCTAAAAGCGACCTTTGTGACTGGTTCCAACTGGAGTAGCTGCCGAACGCAAGAAGTCGTCCAGATCTCTGGGGGTTTAGAGTTCATTCTTTTTATGTCAGCCTGGAGTATATAATTTGTCAGGTTTCCCAGGACATCTAAAGGGCCCTTTGCAAAGATGGCGTCTCCCTTGTGACCCACACCTGTGCTGTGACCTCAAGTCGTCACTTCCTTCCTGTGAAGCCTGAGACTGTCTTGTTCAGTCCCCACCTCGTCTCTCATTCTCGCTTTCCCTTTAAACAGGTCCCACTGGAAGAAGGTTTAAACAAAGCCATTCACTACTTCCGGAAAGAACTCGAGTACCAGGCAAATAACCAGTACATCCCCAAACCAAAGCCCGCCAGAATAAAGAAAGGACGGACGCGCCATAACTGAGCAGCTCGCTCTCGGGACGAGACGCCCGTTTCACTGATGAGATGTACTTTTTCTTTTTTCTGAAAGAGACTTACACAGGTGTCATGAAGAACAAACTGGAATTTCATTCTGAAGCTTGCTTTAAAGAAATGGATGTGCCTAAAAACTCCCCTCAAAAACCTGCAAATTTTGCCTTGCACTTTTTAAAATCTGTCTTTTTATGTAAAATAGCATCTCTGCGTATTTTCAAGTTTTTTATCTTGCTGTGAGAGCAAACGTCATGACTGTCGTTGACAGTTTTGTTTACTGGTTTCTTTGTGAAGCTGAAAAGGAACATTTAATGGGGTGAAAATGCCGATTTTATTTATAAAAGTGGGACCTAAAAGTGCGACGTGATACTTACTATGCATAAAGCAAAGAACGGGCGAGCGGTGCTGCCGGGTGGCCCTGGCGCTTCGGTGGATGAAGAGTTCTGTCAGAGCTTTATGTTTCAGTTCAGAATTTTTCCAAGGTCCAGCTTTGAGTTGCAAACTTGACTTGGAACTATTTCTGTCGGATATTTGAAATCACTACTGTGTTGTGCTGCGTATTTGGGGTGAGGTAGGGTGGGGGACAAAGTTAAGGTATTGGTTAACAGCGGTTAAATATGCTATTTTAATAAAATATTGAAACTCACTTTTAAAGGTTGGCTGGCTTTCTGCTTTCATTGTTGGATTGCTCAGAAAAATGTTGGAAAATTTAATTTTAAAAACTCTGTAAACCTTTATGTTGGTATATATATAATTTGATGAGTGGATATTGGAAACTTTTATATGCCCCTTGGGTTGAGTTTGAATATATTAACTGCTGCGTGAAGGTATCTTTAGCTCTTACCAGGGTTGGAATCACTGTCTGTCCTTTTCTGGCAACAAGACCAGATGGAGAAAAAGAAGTGCCTGTGAACTAGACTCATTGAGTGAACACTTGGAGAGCTTTTCCTTTCCTTAAGAATTCTTTCAGGATTTAGTTTTTATTTTTGTATTCCTTTTAAAACAAATGAAAGAACAACACCGTCAGTTACAGCAACACAGTCAGTAGGCTCTGCACAGGATGGAACCAGCACCAAGGAGGTGAAAGCACTGGGCATTTGGCCAGAATGCCCTTTTCCATACCTCACCAGGAGTGTGCCTGTCCTTCAAAGTCACCGGGGAATAATTTTTTAGTTGGAGATGTTTTTCAATCAGAATCTGGTGCCAGGCCAAGGAAGTTTTGGTTTTATTTGTCGTGCTCAATTTTCCGCAAGATTCTAGAACAAAAGTCGGTGCTAGATTGGATGTGGCGTGAGGGGCGAAAAGAGGATTCAAGGATGATTTCTTATTTTTGTCATTCTTTTGGCCAGAACTAAGCGGTGCTCTATTTATTGAACAGAGATGAATAGAAATGAGAAGCTAGTTTGGAAGCTACTAATGGTGACCCGTACACTGAAGACAGAGTGTAGACGGACGGAGGTGTGTGGGGCAAACTGTGGTGCTGTTTGGGAGAGCCACAGGGTCCAGAATTCTCCTACCTTGTTACTTGCTAATTCTAGGACACACCCTTGAATTTCATTCTTAAGATACCCCCCCACCGACCCCCCATGATTTTTATAAAATTCAGGGAACAAGGAAGAAGTGGGTGAGGAATGGTTATGTGTAATAAGTCACACTCAGGGAAGGGGTAATACTTCCAGGGAGATAATGAAAACTTCGAATTAAGCATATGAACATCCCAGGGAGACAGGAAAGTATTATTGAGGGAGCCTAGATTTCAACTGCATTCTTGTGGGTACTGAGTCTAGCCCACCGACCCCAAGTAGACTCTTGTACCATTGCTACTGCATGAGTCCTGGTAGAGTCTTAGTTATGTGTGAGCTTGACTTAATTCTTAACCTAGAAGTTATGTTGGTCTCATAAGAGTTAAATTTGGTCTCATAAGAGAGCCAGGGAAATCTGGGTGGCCCTCAGTGATTTCCTGGGGTCAAGGAGCTGTGAGTTTCAGGGTTTCAATTTGCATATTAAAGTGATCTGTGTGCTTTGCCTAGACTTTCTTGTAGTTGATTGCTACCTTTAGTAGAGAATTGAAAAATAGCCTTACCCTGAGATTGCTACTACAGCTTCTCAGGGGTGGGGTGCACATTGCTTCAGAGACCCCAGTAGGGCTTTGTTGCAATTATTGAGATTTACCCATCTGTTTTATCTGCTTTAAAAAACTTACCTGTATTCTGTTTGTAGCTTAGCCACATTGGAGAATAAGGGTCATTTATATCTACAGTTGTGCTATGGGAAGGAAAAGAGCAGCGATTTGTTTTATCAAAAAATCTAATTTTTTTCACCCTTTAGGGGGCTAGCTCATTTCCCTTTCCCCAGGGGAGGGGAAAGGCTATAATATAACCCCAGCAGGTTAGATTGATTAACTAGTAGGCTCTGATATAAATCCAACAGGTTAGATTGATGAACTAGTTTCTCCTAGGGCCGTGGTCGGCAAACTGCGGCTCGCGAGCCACATGCGGCTCTTTGGCCCCTTGAGTGTGGCTCTTCCTAAGCCTTAGGAGTACCCTAATTAAGTTAATAACAGTGTACCTACCTATGTAGTTTAAGTTTAAAAAATGTGGCTCTCCTAAGTGAAATAAGCCAGTCAGAGAAAGATAAATACCACATGATCTCACTCATTTGTGGATTATAGAGAACAACATAGACTGATGAAAAGGGACAGACCCAAAGACTGAGAAACAGCAATCAGGCTATTAATCCCCAGAAGGAAAGTAGGGGAGGGCGGGGGTAAGGGGAAGAGATCAACCGAAGGACTTGTATACATGTATATAAGCCAAACCAATGGACATGGAAAACAGGCGGATGGGAGCATGAGTTTGTGTGTGTGGGGGGAGGTTGGGGGTTAATGGGGGGGGATGAGGACACATTTGTAATACCTTAACTAATAATAATAAAAAAAAAAGAACTATCAGAAAATAAAATAAAATAAAATAAAATAAAATAAAATAAAAAATGTGGCTCTCAAAAGAAATTTCAATCGTTGTACTGTTGATATTTGGCTCTGTTGACTAATGAGTTCGCCGACCACTGTCCTAGGGCAGCCTTGCTATAAAGAACAAAGTGCTCTGATGCAGTTCAAAGTAGCTCCTTTTTCCTTCCTGATGCCAGAAGCAATGAGATTTTTCTCCGCTCTTCACTATGAGAACCCAGTTGAACTCCTGGAGGTGAAGCTCAAAATTTTGGGGTCCCCCTTTGAATGGCTCCCCCTGGATTTTTAAACTCGGACTTGTCCACACTAAGCCTCCCACAATTCGTCAATTATACTTCAGATTTTCGGACCCTGGCACTCGATCACATGGAGGTTGCTAATCCAGTGAGTTGTAATTCTCTGTATTTGCCTGTCAGTCTTCCCAATTTGAGGGAAAGAAGTTTGCCTTTTAACCTCACTTCTCAGTGTATCTAAGAAGAGTTACTGATTTTTTTCGTTTGTTCTGCTTTTAAGCAAATATGGTGGAGTGATGAGTTCCCAAGATCCTTACCAGTTGGTTAATGGGTTTGTTCAAGAACCTTAATGTTTTGTAAAACTCTTACTGTTTAGTATATTTTGAATTTGGTGTTTCTGTAATTTTTATACATTTTATTTTAAGTAAAACGAATGTGATGGTACAAAGACCCAGCATGCAAATGTCAAATAACTGACTCCCATTTACCAATCATGGGAGGTCAGTTTTTAAAGAAACTAAAATAAAAATGCAAGGAAGAGACTTCTGTTTTCAAGAAAATGAAGTGGATATAGTTTTGCTATTTTCTCCCACCAGGTACAATGTAAAGTTCTGGACACCTATAATAATAAAAGGGTAGTATGCTAATTAGACTGGACGTCATTCCAGATGTCCTTCCTGACGGAGCCAGAGCCGGAGGGAAGCCAGCCTGGGTCCCAGGTGCCAGAGGGAAGCTGGTGCCGACAGCCGGGGGAAGGAAGGCCTACTCTTAAACAAATTTTCGTGCAAAGGGCCTTTAGTTAAATATAAAACAAGCATAAGGAAACTCTGAAAGTAGGTAGAAAAAAGGAAGACCATCTGGGACCTTAGGACCCAGGAAAGGATCTAGTGGTGTTATGGACTGACTTGTGTTCTCCCCAAAATTCACGTTGGACTCCTAATCCTTAGAACCACAGAAATTAGTCATATTTGGAGGTAGGACATTTAAAGAGGTTATTAAGTTACGAGAAGAAATAAAAGGCATCCAAATTGGAAAGGAAGAAGTAAAACTCATTATTCGTAGATGACATGATATTGTATATAGAGAACCCTGAAGATTCCACCAAAAAAAAAAAAAAAAGTTACTAGGACTGATAAATGGATTCAGTAAAGTAGCAGTATACAAAATAAATATCAAAAACCTATTGCATTTTTATGCACTGTCCAAAAAGGAAACTGGAAACAATCCCATTTACAATTGCATTAAAAATAAATAAATAAAACACACACACACACCTAGAAAAAAAATTTGACCAAAATGGTAAAATACCTGTACTTGGAAAATTGTAAGACACCAAAGAAAGAAATTGTAGAAGATACAACGAAATTGAAGCATATACTATGCTTATGGAAAGGAAGAATTAATATTGTTAAAATGTACACACTACCCAAAGCAATCTATAGATTCAATGCAATTCCTATCAAAATACCAGACATATTTCACAGAACTAGAATAATCCAAAAATGTATATGGAACCACGGGAGATCCTGAATAGCCACAGTAATCTTGAGAAAGAAGAACAAAGTTGGAGGAATCATGTTACCTGATACCAAACTAATACTATAAGGCCATAGTAATCAAAACAGCATGGAACTGACATAAAAACCTACAGATCAATGGAGCAGAAATAGAGAAAAGTTGGACAGATCCATGCAAAAAATCACGACCACCTTCTTACACCATAAGCAATAAACTTAAAATGGATTAAAGACTTAAATGTAAGACTGGAAACCATACAATTAGGAGGAAACATAGGCAATAAAATCTTTGACATTTCTTTTTAGTAATATTGTTTCTGATACAGATCCTTAGGCAAGGGGAATGAGAACAAAATAAATGGGACTGTATTGAACTACAAAGGTTTTGCACAGCAAAAGAAACCAACACAGGGAAAGACAATTTTCTAAATGGGAGAAGATAATCGCTAATGACACATCTGATAAGGGGTTAATATCCAAGATTTATAAAGAACTCATACAACTCAACAACAACAAAACAATCATATTTAAAAATGTAAAGACGACCTGAATAGACACATCTCCAAAGAAGATATACAGATGGCCAATAGACATTGAAGAGATGCTCAACATCACTAATTATCAGAGAAATGCAAATTAAAACCACAATGAGATGTCACCTCACACCTGTCAGAATGGCTATCGTCAATAAAACAACAGTCCAGCCAGCATGGCTCAATGGTTAAGCCTCAACCTATGAGGTCACGTTTCTATTCCTGGTCAGGCACATGCCCAGGTTGTGGGCTAGATCCCCAGTGTGGGGCATGCAGGAGGCAGCTGGTCAATGATCCTCTTCATTATTGATGTTTCTAGCTCTCTCTCTTTTCCTCTCTGAAATCAATAAAAACATATTTTTAAAATAAAGATAAAACAGCAAGTGTTGGCAAGG